GGGAACTCTTTAGCCCATGACAAAGAGAAAGATGAATAAGATGTAGTTCCAGCCTTTAAATACCATAAAGACTGGAAAATATTCTGTGAGGAAACTATGACTGAGGAAGACAGTGAGAGGAGGGAAGAAGAGAATCAAGAATATGGGGGACCCACAGGCTAAATAACCAGGGTTTAGTTAATCAAGACATACCAATACTATTTTCAAAACATCCAGAAATGATGAGCAGGTGCACAAAAGCCAACAGGGCTGGCCTTGAAGGAAATAGAGAGGAATCAGATGTTAGAAATTCTTTTTCCTTCTGGATGCATTTGAATCAGCAACCTAATCAATCCATCCAAAACTCAGCAGATGTTCAATGACAACGGTGCTCACCAGGCCCTGAATTCTCATATTCAAATAAGGACCTGGGTTTTCAGGAGTGGGTAGGGTAGACTGGGTAATACATTCACCAGCACTAGATATCAAAAAAGAATTCTGCTGTGACTGAAACTGGCAGGAATGTTAGATAAGTGTGCTCAGAATGAGCATCTGCTCAAGATACAGGCTGAGGCATGGCTGATAGGAGAGAAAATAAAGTCAATCCACTGATGGAATGTGACAGTCTGAGGAAGGCAATATCACATGGATTGTTCAGAGACACAGCTCATGCCTAAAACAATCAAATTGATCACGGATCTTTTTAAACAAGACAATTAGGCTATGGGTGAATCTTGAGAAAACTGTTTTTGATAGCTGAGTTTTGATCTATGGACACTATACTTCATGACCTGCCTACACGCTTAAAATGCATTAACTGACAGCTCTTGTCATTTTCTCCTTCCCTGCCACAGTCTTCTTTTCAGTTTTAAAGTGCATCAACTAACATGTGATCCCTAGAAATGTTTTTAAAAATATTCAGAGTATGTATGAAAAATAGCTGCTATAAAATCTCTTTTACATAAGCCATTTCAAACAAATAGATTTGGAATTGATATTTTTTTTAACTCCAGTAACAACATTTTATCTTTCCAGAATATAAAACTGGTTGAAGAGATCCATCTTTGCAAAAACTTCCTGAATTTAAGGAACTCAGGCAGAATGATACATCCCACTCATAAAAAACATATCAGAACCTAACGATATGGTAGATTATCATTGGTGTTCCAAGTGCTTACAGTTTCTAAAATGTTCTGTGTCCTCACTAGTTTAAATATTAATAGATTCTCTTGCCCACTCAGATTTATCATGGTAAAAGAAAAAGGTCCCATTTTCAAGTTGTTAAGCAAGCTCGTTTGCAGACCACACAGAGGACCGATAAAGAGAGTGGCTGAGAAAGGTAATTTAGGCAGTGCCCTTTTACACTCTTCAACTCCACACTCTCTAAGCTAGGCCCCCTGCTTTCCTCACGTATCCACCATGACAGCCTTGGGCCACTGAGCTCTTCAGCAAAGGGCTATAAGCATGGAGAAGCCAAGAAAAGTGAGACACCAGAAAGATGGAATACCAGTGTGGATTATAACTGCCACACCTCTAATAACAAAGGCTCAAACCCATGAATAAGGCAATTATCAGTCCTGTTCTGTGACTTGCATAATACCACTGGTTTAACTCATTTATTTAACCCAACCAAGAGCAATCTGAAATTGGCCATCTGAGACTAAGAAAATATTGCCTCTCCCCAAACCAAATTTACCAATATTCACAAGCTATTTTAGACAAAGCTCTTCTTCCAAGAGCTGTTAATAAGGAAAACTGCATCAAATTGAAAGCCTTACTGAGATATTTTGTTCAGAGAAATTAGAGATCTCTTTTTTGAACCATCCATCATTAAAGAAATCCTAAATGTCTTCTGCGGCTCAGTAAATCTTAAAACAAGACTTGGTAAATGTGTAGATTGAGGTGTGCCCTGCAAACACATGCAAAGACTGTCTCCAGTCCTAGGGCTCAAGAATCTATACTGAAGCTACTTCAGGCATCAATATCCCCTACTTCCCTATGGTTATTTTAAATGGATCTGTATATAAGATTGAATGTTATCTCTAAATCTACTTACCTTAGCAATAAATGTTAAATAAACCCCAATGAGAAAAGACTTTTAAATTAATCTTGCTGGTTTACTTTGAACCAGTTCACTTGCTTTGCTCTTATCAGTTGCTAACCAATAACCATAACCAAGTCCAAGAACAACAAGAGGAACTCAGAAGAGTATCTGGCTTTGTCTTTGATGAGGTGATTAAATCATCAAGGGAGGATGATGAGTTATTTCCTTCTTGAACATCTCTGAGACTTGAGAAACTTTTAAGGTGGTAAGCTCCTAAAGGGCAAAGAATCTGTGTGCAAACAGATTCTTCCGAACAGTTTTGCTTGTGGGTTGCAGTGATCTAAACTGGGGGTCAGCAAACCCAAGCTCGCAGGTCAAATCCTAGCCCAGCTCCTGTTTCTATAAGGCCTATGAGCTAAGAATGCCTCTACATTTTTAAATAGTTAAGAAAAAATCAAAAGAGGAATAGCAGTTCATGACAAGTGAAATTTAAATGAAACTCAAAGTTCAGTGTACATAAAGTTTTATTGGAATGCAGCCATACTCATTTTACATATTGTCTGTGGCTGCTTTCATGCTACAGTGGGAGAGCTGAAGAGCTGCAACAGAGCTCACATGTCCTGTAAAGATGAAAATATTTATCTGACTCTTTACAGAAAAAGATTGCTGGCTTCTCATCTAGACAAATTGCAATAGTAATATCAATTAGTATCAATTGCAAGAGTAGTAGCAATTGATTTCCAATTATTCATCCCATAATAAAGTTTTACTTCCTTCATTTATGATCCTAAAATGAACTCATCTGAAAATGTTAAACCAAAAGAAACAAAATCCAGCAAGAGTATAATCTCTGGTCAGTTACTTTGAACTCCATTTTAGCAAGAAATGACTCAGGTGTTGACTATTTTTTGTTTATTTGTTTAGTTTTCTCTCATTGGGACTTTCTCTTTAGGACAATCTTAATTTAGAACTTGGCCCGTAAACCTTAGGTAATATTCATGTTTACTATAAAATAGATGGGAGAGTATTTTAAGTCCTCTAAAGGTCTACTCTACATATCATTTGTGTAAAAAGATAAACATGAGCGACACATTGATTTTAAACTAGATGATGAAGTCATCGTTCCTTTCCAACTCCCAAGAAATTTACTTTCATGAGAAATGATCTGCACATTAGCCTCCCACTAGGAATGACCATGAACTACCACAGGAAGTAGTTCTGTTGATATAGGTCAAAGTACATTTGACCATATTGGTCTTGAAAACCACAGTCGATCATGACCCACCACCTAGGAACCTGGACCCCAGTTGGTAAGTGACTGAACCCAAGCAATTCTTCCACATAACAATTGAAACCACCTTTTCTCCTTGGGAAGAAAATAATGACAAAAGTCTACACAAAAATACTATGAAATATTTTTAATCCTGGAAAGAACTTGATTGCTAGTAACCAAAGAGGGGAAAAGTCAACAAGAATAAAATTCAGTCTTTTAAATCAAGTGAACACATACCAAATTGCTCCACATTGTGAAACAGCATAAAATAATTTATCCACAGAAGACATGGTCTCATCCAGTGGAAAACTGACTTAAACATGTTTTGACAGATATTAAGAGATATTAGAGGTGACAGTTGACTTAATGAAGTATTTAAGGCTTCAAAACTGTGCCTTTTAGAAAAATAACAAATACCTTCTTCTACCACTTAGGGAGTTAAAGAAACAACAAATATCAATTAAAAGTCATAAAAACATAATTAAGTTGTTTATATCTTTCAATATTCCACTGAGCTATGGAAAGGCAAGACCTAAACCCAAAGTGAATTTTACAGCCAGGATTGCTCTGAATATTTTCCTCATAAAATTCTTTCTGTCATACTTTGTTAGTGCTTGGAATAAATGACAACCACTGGGATCCAAAGGAAAAAGGCAGCTCTGTTCCAAAGATGGGACAGAGCTGATAAAATCTATTTAATATCTAAAATTAGAAAGAAATTCTTCAATACCAACTACATTTTCAGAGAGTTCATTAAAATTTAAGGCATTTTGACATGTCAGAGATTTTAGTCCAGTGACAGGAGAAGAAAGAAGCTACCTAGGAGCAAATCCCAATTATCTCTATGGCTTCGAACATGTATGTTGAGCACAGCCGAAGATGAAGAGAGAGTGACAGGTGACTGCGCAGAAACTTCCTGACTCTGTCCAGCTGTACAACTTTGCCAGGATTCCTCTAAAAGGGTTCATTTCAAATGTATTTTAATTCTTCTGTTTAAATTTTGACCAAAATGGGGAAAGGCTCATCAGCACTGTTAGCAAGATAAAAATGAGCAATGCCAAAATAATTTATTTATAGGAAGATTTAAGAAATTAAACATGTAAAGGATTTATACTACATGATGTCCTCCCTGAATCTCACAATAAACAATAAAATAATGGCAACCTCACCTATACTCATGAATCCAATAGTAGAAGATATACACAAAACAAACATTCATTCAACAATAACAGTACGGTCCAGTGTTTTATCCGCCAGCCAGATAAATGCAATTATTTATTTTTCTCCCAGTTTTCACAAAAATAAAGACATCACCTGCTAAATCAAAAGTTACAAATCATACCTCATTGAAAGATGTGAGGCAAAACATTCAACAAATCCTACTCATAAGTCCTGCTTCTCTCAGCCAAGCACCATCTTTTTAAAAAGCTGGATTACCATCTATAAAGATAACTGTTTATTGGAAACAAACCAAAGTACCTTCGATCATCAATGGGAAGGAAACTCTCCTCCTTCTCAGTTCTAAAACAATTAGTGTTACACAAAATTGGTCAAATCTAATCAAACTTCTTTCAACAAATAATATTTAAGACATGCTAATACTGGTAACCTGTCTGTTACAGGAAATATCACAATTATCTGAATCACTTTTGAATAAGAACAACACATATTTCATAACTGCTTATGGTACAACCACATTCTTATTATGAATACAATTATATGTAATTTTCCAAAACTGAATTCCTTCCTTATTGACTTAAAAAATAAAAACTTCCATGGAAGTCATAACCTTCAAAATCTTGTAGGAGAATAATAGTCATATAACCTTTGATGCTAGACATAGGACAAATATCCCAGCACCATTTTCTGGAGACCACAAAATTATTCCAATACCTTTGTACAGTTATCTGTAGTTGTTCATAAGTCATTCCACTTTCCTGTTTATGGTTTTGCAACGTGATAAACAAGCTTTCCCCTTCGTTTTAAATTATACTTCAAGCATTACATAATCTTAAGCCATTGGACTTCTATGATAATGTCGCTTATTTGTATTACTGGAAAGTTAAGGCGTCTCCTTGTCATTTTTTTATTTTTTAAAGATTACTTCAACATTTTTAGTCAAGTTCACCTAACCAGTTCCAACAAGAATAAATGGTATTTCAAAGGTGATTATAAGTTTAGATAACTCAAACACCTGCTGGCTCTTTCTAAAAAATCACTGCTTACTTAGGCTTCTGAAATCCAGAAAGATACTCTATGGGAAAATGAAATGTTTATTGTCTTTCTTTGTTCACCATTTTTAATAGAAAAGATGTTTTAAGGTCTTGTCAGGAAAATAAATAATGGGAAAAATAACTATACCTTTAAAAATTTTTCAAATCTTTTCAAATATATAAACAAAGAAAAGACAAATGGGATCACAATGCATATGCTGACATCTGTCCTCCAAAGCACACTTTTTATGTAGAAGTTATAAAGAATAAAAGTTATGCATTAATTATATGGCATGCATCAATAGTGCACTGGTGGGCTTAACCTTGGTTTTCAGTTATGTGTATATACAGATAAATCTCTTCCTGAGTTGAGCTTCATCTTCAGTTGAGACTCAAACCATTTGCTTTCTTATTTTTGGCAAGAAACTTGACCACGTGATAAGGCAATCAAACATTTCAACCTCCTTCCTTTTTCAGTAGCATGGCCCTCCTCTGTGACATTACCAATGTGCCAGGTACAAGGACAGGCTCTAAACTATAGTCCTGTAAAACTAGAGAGCAGGTATCTTTGTTCATTAGTCTGAAGGCTACAGCATTGTTTTTTTCATATATTTGGGGATCTTGAGGATTTCAGCTGAACAGATTCAAAATGGTCTTCTTTTTCCTATGAAGAAAAAAATATTAAAACAAAATCAACTCACTATAATTCCAATAAGGTTTTAGAATCTTATATGTCCAGAAGGAAAGTTCTGGCAGTCATTTTAATCTATGTACCTGCCACCTGAAATTAGGATTTTACATTTAAATAAGAGTGTCAGATATAACAGATAGCATGCCTACCCTGAAGGATGCTTTTGATGTCCAGGAGATAAGACAGACAATCCAAAATAGAAGCAAACACATGATTGCAATAGATATCAAAAGATGTTGTTTTGATTCTTTTGAAGAAAATACTAAGACCCTTCTAAGGGGACATCTGACCTGGGTGCTGAAATAGATGGCCTTGCCATGTGAACTGTGGACAAAATAGAACTGACAGAAACTAAATATTCTCAAGATAACATGAGCTAAATAATAATTTTAAAAAAGGCCAACATAAATAAATAAGATGAACACCAATAAGACATAAGATCATTTGGGTTCACTGATATGTTTCAAGAAGATCTTTTAGGTATATGTATGCCAAAGATAATAAAAACATCTTAAAAGGTATAAAGGCATCTTAGATAATAAATCAAAAATTTAATTCAAATATATCTTTACTGGTGTTTGTTATATAATACATTCAAAATGTAGCCTATTAAAATAAATTAGTCTTCTTTAATGGGGAAAAAGAGAAATAAGAGGTGCAATTCCTCCCAATGTTTTCACTGTTAAAGTTAGAAAATGCTTTCTAAAGACTTCTGGAATGAGATGGGTAGGGGGCCGGGTGAACTATGCTAATGAAGAGAATAAAGATGAAGAGAATTAGGATTATGTTAAAAATAAAGGAAATAAGAGGCAGAACAGTCCTAGGTGCAAATGGATGTGTGTCTAAAGTAGAGAAGTAAAATGAGAAAATAATAGGAAGTTGACATTGAGTATCTGTCAGAAAGAACAAAGTTTCTGTTGTGTTTTCGCTCATTTGAGTGGAGTCCAAGTCTTCAGACAAGCTTTAAGGCTTCAGGGACAAGATTACAGAAAAAAAAAATCGGAGTAAACACCAATGTTGCTTTCCCAGCCTTTGCTGTAACAAGTCCCTGGGAGAGCACACTGCAAATCTCAGTGCTCTAACTCACTGGCTCTGTAAGCACTTGCCTGAAGTCTCATGTTTCCCAGACTTAATTTTTTGGGGGAATAACCATTGATAATTCAAATATTTGCTAAGAACCCACTGTGTTGCAGGAATAGGACTCGACTTTAGAGATAAAAAATGTCTTCCCTTAAGGACTCCACAGTGTATTACAGAAAAGAGCTTTAGGATATTGGCCATGAACCAGAAAAGATATCTGAGATTTCTGTACCCTTTCCTTGAGAAGATTTGATTCATATGTTCCCCGGGGGAGGGAAGAAGAGACCTGTTTATTATCCTCAGGGTAATATTTAAAGCAAAACATTGAAAACTCTTTACAAAATCATGTTAGCCTCATAGGGCTTCAATTGCTATGTCCTCCACGTTCACAAGGGATTTTGCTCCTATCACAGATATGGTTGGGTGTGTGTGTGTGTGTGTGTGAGAGAGAGAGAGAGAGAGAGAGAGAGACACGTATGTCCTCCAGCTATAAATGAGATTGTTTCTGAGATAAGAAACTGTGTCTAATTTGACGCATCACCAAAACCTGGCAGAGTATCTAACACACAGTGTCCCATAAATGACTGTGAAACAAATAAAAGGAAAAAATGAAATAAAAGATTTTTTTAAAATAATGCTGATAAAATTTGAGAAGAGTAAGTCTATAAATAAAACCCCACAAGTCCAGTACATTGATAGGGAAATAACAAATAAGGCATGGCCTTTAGAACATGAATAAGGATATGTAAGATAAAGCAAACTTTACATGACACAGTAGTTAAGAAACCTATAAACATTTTTGCTCCATGAAACCATGTATAACAAATTTTTTTAAATGGGACACACAATAAGACTTGTGTAATGATATTCATAGCAGATTTATCATAGCTAAACACTGGAAATAGTACAAGTGTCCATCAACAGGAGAACAGATAAACAAATTTTGGCATATCCATAAAGCAGAATACTACTCCAGAATAGAAAGGAATCTAGTACTGCCTAACACAAAGTGGATGAATCTCAGAAACATTTTCTGAGTGAAAGAAAACTTGAGCAAAATACTACATATTGTGTAATTACAATTACATGAAGTCTAAAACAGATAAAGCTAATCTACAGTTTTAAAAGAGCATTACAATTGCTTTCTTTGGGGGATGATGATGGGAATTGATTGGCTACAAAAGGACATGAGTTTACTTTCAGCGGTGAAACTAATGTTCTATATCTTAATAAAATTTGGGGTTACACAGGTATATGCATTTCTCAAAATTCAATAAATCACATACTTTTGATGTGTGCATTTTACTCTATGTAAACATGTTACCCTAAAAAATGAAAACGTTGAATTGCTCTCATTAATTATATGTATTCTGAAGTATTTAGGGGCAAATGCATTAAAGTCTGCAACTTTAAAATGCATAAAAAAGAGGTATTCATAAATGGATAGAGAGAAGGAGAGATACGTAATAAAGCAAATACAGTAAAATTTAGGTGGTGGGCATATGGCTGTAACACTGTGTAATTCTTTCACCTTTTCGCTAATATTTAAATTTTTCATTAAAATTGTTTTAAATTATAATATCAACTAAAATTGATATTTAAAACAAAATGTTGTACACTGAACCTTCTCAGAGAGAAAAATTATCTTCCATCTTGTTTCCTATGATTGTTTCCAAGAACATTTTCAAGCTTTCAATTCTCTAGCTATGAAATAACAATAGAGGAGGCACTTAAAAGTTTATCTAATACTTACCCCATACTCTCCCCTGAGTAATCCCCACTTATTCTTTTAGATTCAGCTTAGAGGTCACTTTCTCTTAAAAATCTTCCCTGGCACCTAAATACTTCTTTCATTACAAGACAATGCCCTTACAAATAGGGAATTCTAAGTTCTAAGTAGGTAAGAAGTCTAAGAAAACTGATGATAGCAGACTCATTCTCCATGGGTCTTGTGCTTCTGCATGTCTTGTGAGGAAGACACAGTTTGTCCTTTTTCCTAGTCTTCAAAGACATTTATATAACAAAAACCCATGGATGGCATAATGTCTCCAACCAGGACAAAGAAAGATTGCTTATCATCCTGAAAGCTAGAGATAGTTTCTTCCCCTGTGAGGCAAATGACAGACATACTTATTACCTCCTATGAAGATCCAGGCTCCCCAAGCTAAGGGCTCCTCTTCCATAATGTAATCCACTGTGTGCACAAGAACCAAAGCAAACATGGCCATCTTGGCTACTGCTATTGCTCTGAGTAATAAGCTGTATTTTTTCTCTGACCCAGAGACGCACACCTTCCAAAATGTCCATGAAACTATAGCAGGCTAATTTGTTGGCTAGTTAATAGATTGAAATTTCATAATTTCCACATTTCTCCAATGTTTTGCCTGTGAGGATAGGAAATTGATAGAGAGGTATCTTTCTGGAAGAGGAAGGATGAGGGCCCTACACACTAACATGTTTGAGGGAAGTCCACAAGAATGGGTAGCAAACATGCTAACCAAATTGTACAGTCAACAAGGCAATAAAATGATCCTCCAAAATTTACTCCCTGGAAATGAAAAGGAACTGGGGAGCTGGCTACAGGCCAAATACTGAGAAGTGGGTTCAAAGAGTTCACAGTTCAGCTGCCTAAATGGTGGCCTGGATATTGTCAATTCTCTGAGATGGAGGACTTCCTCACCAATCAAGTAATCAGCTTCAGGTGTGCCCCGTGGTAACCACCAACTAAAATTCATCCTGGTAGGAAAAGAAAGTTTCACCCAGTCTCTGACCACAGTCACAGAGACAAGTACCTACAATGAGCATTAAAACAAAAATGGAGTCCACCTATGGGTAGAAACTAGGTGAACTGTTTGAATTTTGGCTGGTTCACTTTGGAGATGATTGTGGCAGTAATCTGATGTTAAATAAGAAATGCAACAGCTATGCTATCCTAAGGCTCAACACCTCTTGCAAACTGCCATGACTACTTTAGATCCATTCAAAGATGGCAGAGATTTTATAGTGAATCCTGACTGCAGTAACAGAGATTTGGCTTTCTCTGCAAAAGTTCTATAAGGCTAATTTCCATAGAAAAACTTAGTGTGGTACTGAATAGTATTTGAGCTCTTACTGCCCCACATTGGGTTTACAATGCAGGCAGATTTTCCGTGCTAAATCTAGCTGGCAGTCAAAGAAAAACAACTAGAATCGCACTGCACTCTTCACTATTGAAGACAGTATGGCTTCACTTGAAGATTCTACTTGCTTTTTATCAGCTAACCTACAAAGTGGTATCTTTTGAGTTGGGCCAAAAGCTAAGAGCTGTCCAGAAAGCTGAGTCATGCTCTATATCTTGTGTTCCACAACTCTAGTGACCACTTTGTGATACAATTCACTGTGATTAACGATTTTGCCAATTAGAGACTCTGGTATCCTTTGGGATTTTAGACTCATCACCTCCTTGACATGGCTACTCTTTTAAAAAGCAGCTACTAGCTTGTTACTGAGCTCCTGTCAAAATTGAATGCCATTTCTATGCATACCTGTGACTCTATAGCCTGATAGTCCCATTCATGTTGAGTCAACAAGGTAGCAAGGGCACAATAAGCTTCACTTGTCAAATATAAATGGTATTCTCAAGAATGCAGCTGGTCTGGCCCCAGCAGCATCTCAGGCTCACATGAAAATATGGCAGCATTCCCTTTGAAGAAAACTTTATCCCTTACTTCACGGATCAAAATGAGGCCACTAGCTCCTTGGAGTCCTGAATTCATTGACATTCTACTACATACTTGGGCCTGGTTCACTGATGGCTTGGTTGAGCTGAAACCCAAGGGTGGCCACTGGCTGCTGCAGATGCCCAATCCCAGCACCAGGTATGAAGAACTAAAAACCTACAAAATTTCTCAGCTCAGTGGGCAGAAGCCAAAGCCATTCTCATAGTTATGGCCAAGACATCTTTTGATAAGCCTTGTTATATTTTTACTGACTTAAGCTATTGCTAAGTCAAGAAAGTCTTTGGTCTGTCACTTGGAAAACTAAACACTGGCATATTAGTCAGCCTTCTCTGAGACAACTAACTCTGGAAACCAATCTTAGATGCCAATCAAATCATCTTGGTCACTCACGTATATCTCCACAGTAAGGACCCATCCTCTAAAAAGACTAAATGGAATTAAGTATCTGACAGAGACTGCACCAGACAGACTGCCACAAATGCTGCATGGATCCATCACTCTGCCCAACATAGCAATGAATCTACCATCACAGACTGGGTACAAAGTATTCTATTTTTCTCATGTACAGGTTACCACAGCATGTCAGACTTGGGATTCAGGGCAAAGGTTTACCAGTTTTTCCTGGCAAATTGATTACATCTGACCTTTGACCACCCCTCTGGGTTACAGTAGTACCTAGCCATTGTTGACACCTGTTCAGGCTACAGTGTTGCTGTTCCAGTCTGATCAGCTAACTCCAGCCACACCATTATGGCCCTTGAAATAAATCTGCTTAATGTTTGTGTCTTTATGGACCATTTGAAGTCTGACAATGGTGCCCTTTTTATCACAAAAGCTAACCAGAAATGGGCTGAGAGTAGAAGTATTTGGTGAACCTTCCAAATTTTTGTACTACGGTCCAAAAGCAATTGGTACCTTTGAGCATTGAAATGGCCTTCTCAAAAATTGATTCAAAAAGATTTCTGACTCTATCTCTCTCACCATCCCCTGGTCAACACATATTAGTAAGGACATTTGGTTATTAAATATGGCTGTCCCCATAAAGGCATCACCTTCTCTTGGCCACGCCATAGAAAGGGGGCTGAGGGAAAGATATTGATTGATTCTATATAAGGCTATATACACTTATGGAAAAATCCAGGATTCTGCTCTGATTACTTCTAGACATGATGTCCTTATTTACCCCAACAGCAATCCTCAGAATGTCTAGTGTTAGCCCTGCCAGAAAGGAGCCTAGAAGATTCAAATATAATTCTTGTTTAGCCACTTTTTTTGTTGTTGGATTGTAATGATCCTGGATCAAAAGGACAATGACCACTTAGCTGAGTATACTGCTCATCAAATCACCCTATGCCTCCCTGGACGAAGGTGAGGGACACCTTTGTATCCATAAGTTTTTAAAAATGCCCTTGTCTCTGTTGTACCCAAATGTCCTGGAAAAGAGGGTATCCATAAGTTTTTTAAAATGCCCTTGTCCCTGTTGTACCCAAATGTCCTGGAAAAGAGGTCTAGGTGCTAGTAGAGGATGAACAGAAATAAGGTGAATTTGTAACTACTGAAATGAGACAAACTGATTTTGTGACAGTGGAAAGAAAGCAACAGTGTAGTCTGATAATGAGGTGCCTGGGGAGGAAATACTTTAGATCCCGAGAGGTATGAAAGATAGAAGGACATTAATGATCACTTGTTTTTCAGAGCCACCCTGTCACCTTCCTATGAAGGAAAATGCCTTAGTGTTCCTCTCTCAAACTGTTTAAATGCCTTAAACTTCACTGACTACTGGGTCTACCATATCCACCAAATGCTCTACCCACAATTTGGTTGCTATTCTCCTTAGGCCTACTAAGAAATCTATCAGAAGCAGCTCCTTTCCCAGAAAAAGAACAATCAATAACTCCATTCTCAGAGCCATGGCTCAGTCATTCCATGAGGTGGACAAACACCACCCAGTTTGTGGTGTGGACAAACAGGAAAAGTTGAACTGAACGCACTTAGGCAGTCTCCCCAAAGACAAGGAAGAGACCCAATTACTTAAGGTGAATTGAAACTCTGCAGCAAGGAGGCTGCAAGCACTGTTAATCTACACTACCTAACTATATATGTACTACTTGGTGTCCCCAGCAATTGTAAATAATGCTTTCTCTCTAGAGGTAACACATGTACCTCCAGGATGATACTTCTTATGTAGAAGCCAGGCATTAACTACCCTCCTAAAAACATGGTGGCTCACATTTGCACCCTAGAAGTGGTCATAATTTAACCATTTATAGAAACATCCATAACAGATCATATAGCTCTTAGACAACTGCAAGGATCTTTCCAAAATGAGACCATTCTTAGTTACTAAGATGAGGTTCCTAGAGGAATAACCAACTTGTTATTTATGCTCACCCTATATGCAGTTATTCAATTAGAAAATTTGGTAAAATATCTGTCTCTGAATTTAGCTAAAGTAATGAAATGATACCACTTCAGCCTCTGAAGGCATTCAAGTCAACATCAACTCACTGTCATTGTTATGAACAATATAATTGCCCTATACTTCCTCCTTGAGGACCAAGACAAATTCTGTGCAACTACTAAAATCCTACCTGGATTGTCTTGCCGAATTGTCATCACAGTAGATTAAAAGGAGAATGCCCACTTGGTTAAGTATACTGCTCACCAAGCTCCCCTACCATAGCCCAAGTAGACAAAAGTGAGTAGTGAACAGAGTGTTAGACTAACAGAAAATTTCACCAGAAGCCAAGATGGTGTAGAGTGAGATTTGAATATTGTTGGGGGACAATTCTTCACGGTTCTCTTGCATTTCTGCACATCTTATGAGACATCGATGTCCCTTGTTTTGACTATCTTTTCAAGGATCTTTGTGTAGAAGCAGCCTTAGAAGATAAGATATTATCTCATTCCAGAGAAAGGGCAGGACTGCTTACAGTCTTGGAAATAGTGTCTCTCTCTGAATCAGTGAACAGACATGCTACCCGACCAGTACAATAATGATAATATCTCCTTTTGGAGCAAAGGACAGGAATGCTTACCACCCATTCTAAAAGATTCCGGTTCCCAAAGCTTAGGGTCCCTTTTCTGTATTGCAAGGCACTGTGTGTGCAAGCCATCTGTTCCTGTTCACATAGGCTTGTGGGAATTGGGGCTTTGGGAACTAGTATAAATGCTGATACTTTGGCTAGTGCTTCTGCTGTGAGTGCTCAACTGTCCTTTGTCTCTGACCAAGAATCCCATGTCTTCTAAAGTGTCCATGAAACTGTGACAAGCTCACTTGTTAGTGTGAAAGTAGGGTAAAATGTTAGTTCTTGACAATCACTGCACATTCATCATTCCATAGCAACAGTATCCTTCCTAAACTACCATATTAAAAAAAAATTAAATAACTATTAATAGAAGGGGAATATGGCTTGATCATTTTATTTTGAAATAATCCTCTAGAATATATTTACATGCTTAAATTAGGGAAGTAAAAGGAAAGGTTACTAAAACATTGCCAATAAATGTAATCCTTTGCCACTTGTCCTTCTGAAAATCATTTGAAATGCATTTTCTTTCTTCTGGTTGATTTTATTTTTAATACTGAGTGGAAAAACTGATAATGCTTCATCTTTTAAGTCAATGGTGATGAAAGTCAATACAATATGTTTACAAATAATATTTAAGGCTTCATGTTATTTGTTTGAATAACTAATCATTTCAAAGCCAACAAATGTAATAGCATCTGATAAGGTACGTTTAATACCTCAACAGTTTACATAACTTTTATTTTCTCTGTATGAGGCAATCTTAGTTATACAATTTTTTAAAAGAAAAGTATAAATGAACATGAGATCTTTTATTAAACTCTTTCTCTTTTAATATCATAATACATTATCTTTGTGAAAATTCAAACATGACAAAAATGTATTACTTCAAAGATTAAAGACAACCATTAGTTCAAAATTCCCCTACACAGCTACTGTCAGTAGTAGTCTGCTATGCAAATAATAACATAAATGTATATTTAATAGAAATGTGATAGTCTATGTATTGTCTGTACCCTATTGGAATAGATATTTCTATTTCTAACAGCTGTGGAGATGCACAATATTCCAATACTTTGATGTATGAAAATTTCTTATCTAACTTTTTACTGATGGTGTTTAAAGTTGTTTCTACATGGTTAACCAGAAAAAAACACTGCTGCGTAAATATTCTTGTATTTACATCCTTATGTACTTCTAGGAGTATTTCTGTTAGACAAATGCCAAAGGAGATATAGACATTCTGTATTACAGGGCTTGCATGAATACTTCTATTAGGTTAATATGTTCCCTAATTTATGAATACACAGTAATATTGGGTTAAAATTCTCTCACCTTTGTGGCCAAGGATTTGAGTTTTCCCAGTAGTGACTGTTTATTGGAATATACAACTTCCTCTTCATTATCTTCTCCTTCCATGATAGCACAACTGTCCGCAGCTGGGAGTTCACACTCTTTTGAGTTAGTTGTCATTACTAATTTGGAATATTTGTACTCCAGTCTAAGTAGCAGTAAATAAATAGATAAGTAAATAAAGTGGAGGTTTAATATAAATTCTTATTTTAGATGGTCATACACCAGGTCATTAAATTATCTCATAATATAGTTGCTCTAACAACAAATTTCTCTCACCTACAGCAATCATACTATGTGTTCTCATATATCTACCACCTACACACAAATTTTTTCCAGGATTTCAGAGAACCAGTGCAATACGGTTAACTCTATCACTTATTTTATATCAATTAAATTGTCCAATTATGAACTTTTGAACAACAAAGAGAAACCTTAAGGTTTGAAGACATTTTCTTAATTTATAAATATTCGAAAGCTAATTCACTATACAGTGCTCTGAAACTTAGTTCATAAGAATAAGAATACCATACAGGCAATTGATTTGGTCTTTACCAGTTTTCTATATCACTAATTACTTTTTGTTCGCCACTCCAGATATTCCAGTGGTCCCAAGATATTATCACATAGAACTTTCACAGCCCCACTGACACGTAAATTATTTTAAGTCAAAACATGTGATACACTAATATACAATCAGGAGTTAGACTCAATATTCAACTCCAGATTCTTGGAGTCCTGGAGTAAACAAAGGTGATATCTGCCTACATAATCAATCAATTTCTTTGCAAATATCTACCCCCAAGAAACTGAAAAAGAACAGGTGGGGCAAGAAGACATCATGTTGTCATGAAAAGGAAAATAGACACAAAGAGAAAAACTGCCTTCCAATCTCAGATCTGAATAACCTGGAAACTCCATTTTTCTTTGTTTTATAATAGATAGGTCTAATTCAGTAATCTCTAATGTTCTCTCTATTATCAGAATGACAATCATTTTCGTTTGCTTTCTTAAAGCCCTTTCTTATAACTCCCTCACTAGGAGAAACTGTGTCTCTGAGAGAAACTACTGGATATAATAATTAATTCTAAAATTTTTTACAAGAAAAGAGATCCTTCAGTTCTTATATGGTCACTCCAATGAGGTTACTTACTTCTGATTCTTTTTCCAGAAATAGCAAGTTAGGGCCACCAGCAAAACAGCCGTGAAAGCTCCCACACCTGCTCCTACTTTTAGCCAAAAGTCAACTGTTTCACAGGTTGATAACTTTTTCTCAGGCAAAGAAATTCCTTTAATGCACCATTTAGGTTCATTCCACACATATAAGGTCTCCTTAAAAAAAAAAACATACACAAAGATGACATGAGAAATGAAATTCAGAAGAATTTTGCTAACTCTTTATTCATAGTATGCATTGAAGATTATTCAGGATTCATGTAATAGAAGCTTCAGAGACATGGAAGATATCGAAGAGGTCCCGAAGAGAGTGAATAAGAAAATGATGAATGAAAATGCAACAAAACCAAATAAAATCATGGACTGTCCATTCAGAACACTTGCTACATGCTGAGGAAACTGAATAAAAATTAATCCATCTGGACATATCATTTGGACTATTCCTTAAATTTCTGATAATCCCTGACCTCTTGATCATGTTTTTAAACGAAAGCTTAGTTGTTTAAAATAATGAATTGAAATGGGTTTCACCTACCCATCATGTAGGTCCATTTCCCCAACAAGTCTCTCCCCTGAGTAGAAAAGCAGACCCTGGACCCAGGACATGCAGACACCACATGACCAACAGGCTTTGGTGACACACAGATTGCTCTTCTCCTCTCCATGCCAAAATAAGGAGCATATTATTCTGCGTCATCACTACCCACATGAGGTTCTTAATCTTAGCCTACCAAAGTAGATGACTCAATTATATTAGGGAAATGTTTTTCAAACTACAAGTTGTAACAACTGGTAAATAATAAAATCAATATACTGAGTCTCAACCAGCAATTTTTTTAAAAATAAATAGATCAAATAAAACAGATTAAAAACAAAAATTATAGTACAGTTCATGGTTCCTAATACATTTCAACATATGCAGTGACTAAGTAACAATCTGCATGATTATATCCATTGACATTAAATGACATGGGGTAATAAATTTTTTGCTTATGGTGTCTCATTAAATTTTCTGGTGTGTGATGGTCATTTTATCAACACCCTAACAGAAGGATAACACCATAATGTTAAATTTTATTTTACACACACACACATACACACACACACACACACACATTTTTGCAGTTAATCATGAAGTGACTGATATCCAGGAGAATCGTATTTATTTATCCGAGGAAAAGTTTCAACCAAATTCTGAATAAGAACTTTCAGCCTTTTCTTTAAAAAGGACATTAAAACTGAGAATTTTTTTAGTTCATTGTAATTGTAAAATTTTCATTAAGCTTAGTGTGAATAAATTACTTTTAAAATGGATCATATTATTTTTACAAGAAAATGAGGTGAGAAATAAAGAGGCATACACAAGTTGAACTGCTGCATCTTTAAGTGTAAATAAGGACAATATAGAAAAAAAAATGTTAACTCTAACAGCAAATGTTGGCTTCATCCAAACTGCACTCCAACAACAAAAAAGACTAAGAAAGTTTATATGATTTTATCCAATGTCCAATACCCAGTGAAAACAGTAAGCTCTAATGTCTAGTGACAGTCCTATAAACAAACCATTAAAATTTCAAAATTAAAAAGATACTTATAAAGCTAGTATGCCTAACTTTCCAACAAGTTACTCAAATTGTTAAATAAACTAGAAAAATATCAAGCTATTGACAAAATTTCTTAATGATTCTATAACAGTCTTTCCATAAATTTCTTAATCATTCTACTAAGTAGATAGACTTATCCTTTTCATTCCATCACATGTAACTGGCAAAAAAGAAAATGGCTGACACTGCAGCTGAAAATTTATTCTTTACCCAGCATGTAGAAATATTTTGTGGACAGGGTGAGATAAATTTGATGATGAATTTTAAAACATTTCTCTTAGTGATCACACAGTATCTCTTCAAATCTTTGCTACTCTCTGACATTTAGAAGTAATGCTAAGTACATACTTAGAACCTAGTATAGATTTTTGAGATCCAATTTGATAAGAGCACTTTCATCACAAGTTGTGCAGCTCTTTTAGCTTATATCAGCGATATGTGGAAGGACTTGTAGCATGTAAGTTTAACTTTATACACATCTGGATTAGACATAGTTACAAAATTGGGGAAATGCCCTCTCAGTAAATGTGAAGTGAAAGAATGGAAAAGGAACTAGGACAGAAACACAGTGGAATTATTTTTAAATTAAGAGATACCCACAGCAATATTGTGCAATCACTGCCTTTTTCTATCATAAGTCTTTGGTGTCCAAAGAAATCCACCCTTGTTCGTGGACATAATGAAAACACAGTGGAAGTTGTCATTTGTGTTATATGAAGCTCATTGAAGAAAAGACATTTTGAAATATCATATTCAGAGATGGGAGGTAAACATACCCACTTACTTCATTACGCCCATTTGTCTATTACTGCAATGGAATTACACTAAGCAAGGTGTCTGGAATTTAAAATGGCATTCATATTTTTCTAATTGAAGCTTGGGTCTCATTTGGCAAATACTTTCAAAAGTGACACCTAAGTATAACAGAAGAGCATATTTAACTGATTTTGGTATTTCTCAAATTAAGTTGGAACTATAAGGCGGAATTTGTATATTTCAACATGTCAAATGCATCAAAGTGTTCCAAAAGATATTATTCTTTAGGTCAAAACAAATATTTAAAAAGAATCACTTCGCAACTATCTATTCCTAATATTCTTATAACGTGTTGAACAGAACTTTTTAAATGAAGACAGCAAGAAGGAAATTTAACTTTGGGCGGTAAACGCACAATGCAATATATGTGTGACATATTATTAAACTGTACATTTGAAGCCTATATATTTATTAACCAATGTCACCCCAATAAATTTAATTTAAAAAAGAAAAAAGAAAAGAAAGCATGAGATAAAATTGGAGAAATAGTTGCAAGTTCACTCTTAAACATCTTATCATTACCTTCCAGAAGAGAAATATAAAATATTAAAGAATATTTGAATAAAAGGCAACTTAACTTTTCAAAACTCTTGAGTTAAATTTGGTGGCCAAAAAGAGGAATGCATGATAATTTTGCATTTACTCTAAAAAAATGATTATAAGATAATGTTTATCATTATTTTAGAGAAAGAGTAAAGATGAATTTCACTGTGAAGCATATAAAGTATATCATTATTACTATGAGGATTTAAAGGACATTATTTTTTTGTGAACATGGAATTTTCAGCCTTGACCTACTCAAAATTGTTAGAAATAAAATGGCTCAACAGTGCACTAGATGTATGAGCAGCACTGTCTCTGAATGCTCTAAACTGGAATGAGCTATCTATAGGTAAATTTAATAAACACTTTCTAATTTTTTTAAATTTAATCAATAAATTAAATAAAACATTTCCTAATTTTTGCTTTAGTATTGTCTATTTGGGGACTTTCCTATTTTATATTAAATTACTAATAAAAATATTTTCTATTAATGTTATGCTTATAGTTTATTATAAAATATGAAAATAAGTATTATTCCATGAAACCATTTTATTTTTAGGCATAATCTCTATATGTCTGAGTTTGTGCCTGTGTACTAGGTTTGATGTGCAATATATTTCTTACTACAGGTTCACTGTCATTAAAGTTTAAAAAATATCAATTTAGAGAATTGTTCTTTATGTTTCTTTTCTTCCTAAAGGTGAACACGACTGTTTCTAAATGTGCTGAATACATGGAATCAGATGGGAGCGTTCTGATTTCTTCTTGCACACCTGCTCTCCAACCTGCCATTTACAAGCTCCTTAAGACTTTCCTGGACAAAAAAGTTTCCCTCTGATGCCCTTATGCAGTGAGCACTCCAGCATGTTCTCCATGCCATGCTGATCTGAAGATCAGTCCTACCCCATCTACCTTCTAGCTCTTGGAAATCCCACTTGAATCTCTGATCCTCTGATGCCCACTCTTCAGTAGGGTTCTACTCTGGTACTGATTTATTCTGATCTGTGCTTCTGTACTGTCATTTCAATGGATTTGGAGAGGGTGAGGTGGTAAGAGGTCTGAAGTACAAAAAATCTGTGTTCTTCATATGGGACTACTGAAAGGTGGTACAGTAAAGAAGGCACTCTCAAACACTACTAGTAGAAGTATGAATTGATACAACCAAAGCAATTTAGTAATACATATCCAGAACCTTAAAAATGTCCATCTTCTTGAATACAGTTAATGTCTTTCTAGTAATAAACTCTAAGGAATTAATCAAATTTCCAACAAGGATGTTCATTACAAAGTTATTTTGATTTTTTTCTCAAATGTCCAACAACAGAAGAATTATTAAATCCCCAAATATACATAGTAGAATATTTGTCAATAACTAAAAGTTATGTTTTCAAAAAAATTTTAATGACAAGGGAAATACATAAACATAAAAAGAAAAAAATATACAGAGTAGAATCCCAACTTTATTAAAAAAAACAAATAAGCAAACAGATAATTGCAGAGAAAATGTAGAGTAGACTTTTGATTCTATATATGTATATGCTTTCCTCTTTAGATATGCTTCTTATGATAAGTCAGTTATACTATCCTTATCTTAATTTTACCTATAACTGCATTATATCATCATGTCTTGATTTAATGATATAATTTCTTTATAATCCAAGTAAATATCATCCACAGGCTACAACTGCCTTGCCCTAATTCTTTTTCCCAATCTCAGTGCACATTTTCACCTACCCCAGCATATGGGAGTTTAGCTACCAAACTTGATTTTAAATACATATTAATATCATATTAAGTTAACTATACACGTTAACCATGCCTCTGAATCTTAGTTTCTATGATGTAAAAGTGATGCTGGACTAAACAATTATACCTTCGATGACACAGTTCTGCTTAGATAGGTTTGTGCCTTACCTGAAATCCTCTCTTACAGGCTCCCTCAATCTCATGAAAGTCATGCTCTGTGCACAGAGGACAAGCTTCAGAACTCTCCCACAGGAAATAGAATGTACATCCATCACAGGTACCTGCTGGACACTTGCTGAAATAAAAAGTAAAAACAACAAAAAATGACACATTCAAGCAAGTCCAATCAACATTTGAATATATAATGCATACTAGAAAGCAATGTGAGGATGCTAGGAAACATACATGAAAAAATAAAGGAGACAAAAATATAATGAGATACCACTTTACACCTACTAGGATGGCTAGAATCAAAAAGACATAATAACTAGTGTTGCAAGGAAGTGGAGAAATTAGAAGCCTAACATACTGCTGATGGGAATGTAAAAATGGTGAAGCTGCTTTAGAAGAGTCGGGCAGCTCCTCAGGCAATTAAACTGAGAGTGATCATATCACCCAGCCATTCCACTTCTAAGTAAATAAACAAGAGAAGTGAAAACATATGTCCACACAAGAACGTGTACATGAATGCTCATAGTAGCATTATTCATAATAAAGTGTAAAAACAACCCAAACATCTATCAACAGATGAATGGATAAGTAAAATATTCCATAAAATGGAATAATACTCAGCCATAAAAAGGAATACAGTACTGATACATGTCCAACTTGGATAAATCTCAAACATATTATGCTAAGTGATAGAAGCCAATCAAAAATTTCACATATCATATGATATTATTCATATTACAGTTCATAATAGGTAAATCTATACAAACATAAAGTGGGTTAGTGGTTGCTTACGGCTAGGAAGGGGGCTAGTATATAGGGAGGCGATAACTAAAGGGTATGGGGTCACTTTTTGAGATGATAAAAAAAGGTCTAAAATTGACCATGGTAATGGTTGTACATATCTGAATATACAATAACAATAGAAATTGTACATTTTAAATGAGTGACTTAAAATAGTATGTAAATTATATCTCTATAAAGCTGTTTTTAAAAAAATTTTAAAGGAGAGACAGGCACAGATAAAATTTAGCCAGAATAGAAGGGAAGAAAGTAAGGGAATTCTTGCCACAGGGCTGAAATAGTAGATGAATTGGAAGGAAATTATAAGCAGGTGACTATGGTTGGAGTTTCAAGAGCAAAGCAGTGAGTGAGCACAGGCCATACAAGCAGGCAGTAGGTGGTAAAGGGATTTCTGTTTAAGGTAATGTACTTAAGCGAGGTACTCTAGGGAAAAGAATAATACACAGGACCATGATCCCCAGAAGGTGGGAAAAGACATAAAAATAAAATTGTCTGAAGTGAAGAAACAAACAAAACCACCATCAGTGATGCAAATTATTTTTCAATCCTAGGTTTCCTAAGCCTGACGACTTCCTTTGAGTTCCTTTTGCCAGTGATAATGGATGGGGCTTAGACATAGGTGTAGAATCACACTGAACCAACCACCAGGCAGGGCCTGACTGGAGACTTTTTGAAATTCTGCTTTCTGGTAGATGGGCTTATTATGTCAACTTGCCTCTTTCATTTTCAGGACAAATACGGCATGACTCAAAAATTAACTTGTACAGAATCCTTACTGATTGAAGAAGCTATTTGCAAAAATTCTAATGGGAATGACTGTTTAGTTCATGAATTCACTGAAACTAGGAAAATGTTGTTCCTTTCATTTGTCTACTACACTTCCCTTAAGTCAAGCTGCATAAAAATAGGGCATCGCCCTGAAAACCTCCTTCAGTCCTTAGCTGGTACTGAGTACAGGTGTTCGGAAACATTTAACAGCAAAAAGACAGATACACAATAATACAGAGAAATCAAAAATCACTCCTTTTTAAGTTTTAAGTTCAAATGCCAAAACTATAATTTTCAGTCTACTAGAAAGGTAAAATTTCATACTCTTACTTAACTAAATGTATTACATTACCTGAGAATATGAACACTAAAAAAATTCTAAGTTCCTAAAAATTAACTGCATTTTTACACATCTATTTTTCAAAAGTGTCTATCTGCCGCAGACTAAGCAGACATGGGTGGGATGTAAATAAAAGCAAAGTTCTTTATAACATGCTTCAGAAACAAAGGCATAGTATTGTCAGAGCTAAGAACAATGGTAAACAGTGACTCTTTAGAAAAATGGCTTAATTCTTATCTGCCTTAATTTATCTGTTTGTAACAAGAGCAATAAATATATTCAGACTAAGAAGCAGAGATTTTTTTTTTTAAGGGTAAGTGAAATAGATGAAAACTATGCCATCTTAAAAATTATTCCTAACTTCCACCTTCCAGATCAGTAAAAGCAACTCAAAATTGCTCTTTTGAAAAAAATTGGGTAACCAATTAGAAAAATTCTTCAAGAACACAATTATTATTTGCTTAACAAAGACGTACAACTTCAAAAATAATTACACTCTCTGATCATTTAGCAATTCTTACCAATATGCTTCCCTGTTCAATCTCTCCTCCCCAAGTTATTTTCCATTTTGTCTTTCCAAAACAGACAAGTTGTAAAGGGGGAAACAGGGTTTATCTTGGGAAAATAAAAGAGTCTGCTAAAATTTGAGAAGAAATAACTCAACAAATTAAAAATGGAAGAAATTAATCAAAGTTGCAAAAGCTCTGGAGAGAAGACTTGGGTGATAATTCTAACTGGACTTTCAAATGACTGTGTTTTCCATAAGTGACTCAATGCCCCTCCTCACCATTTCATTTTTATAATTTCTTAAAAATGAAATGTCTGCTATGCTGCCCTCATAGCGTAGTTATAAAGGATAAAATGAGAGAACAATTTGGGAAAGTTTAAAGCACTACAAAATATAAAACACTATTAACAATGCATATCACTTTCTAAAGAATTGGTAGAGCTACAGGAATGGTGAAAAAAATCAAGACATTGATGTAATTTATAAAGCTGCCATTAGGTGTCAAAATACTGTGATGATTCACTGTTTTTCCTTGGTAGATTTCATTTTTAAAAAGAAACTCTTAGGTCAAAAGCAGTTTAGTTTAGAATCAATTTTTTAATTCTTTCAGCCCAATGAGTCATTTAAAATGAGGAACATTTAAATTCAATGCTTTGATATAAACATAAGTTTCACAGTTTGAATCAGGCCTTCCCTGTGAAACATGGATGTATAAAGCAGTAATTTCAGTAGTGCTTATATAGAAAAAGAAAATAGAAAAAAGGATGCAAAAAATATATTTTCTCCTTCTAAGAGAGGAATAAAAGGCAAACAGTAAGATAAATAAACCCTTTATTGCCAAATGTGAAATAGTTTTCCATTTGATGACCTGTGTCACCACCATCTTCACCCTCTGCCCCCAGCTATTTAGAGGTGTCACTAATTGTGCTTCTTTTTAAATTTTGGTCCATGCAATCTCCATAGAAATCAATGAGTAAATGTTTAAAGACACAGGACAAGGTCATGAATTACTGGGGCATTCAAGCCTAGAGTTCTATAGGATGATCAGATGTGCTGTGAATTCTAGGTAGAAAAACCACCAACGATTCAAAGGACAACTAAGTGGACCTTGATTTGGTTTTGCTGATAAATGTAAAAGAGACTTTCCAGTCTTTCCTATTTTGCTTGTGGGATTGCCTTACCAACCAGGGTGGCATTGGCAATGTGTTAGAATTCAGATGAAATTTTTTTTTTTTTTGAGAAAATTATGCCTTGAATTCTAAAAAGGAATAAATTTCCTGGGGAGGATAACTGGACTGAGTTAATGTCCCCTTTTAAATGAATCATCTTACCTAAAGCAGGATCTACTTGGTTCATATTATGAATTTGTGGAGAATCTGATTTTCTTTGGAACTATTATGACCTAACATTCAACCTATTATTAATTGTTTGGATAGTTGATAAAGCAGAGTAAATCAGTTTGCCTAAGCTTTATTCAAAATCTAAAGTTAAAACAAATTCGTGTATATTGTCAGTATGTTTCTGACCCTTCTGGAGTTAATCTCAGACTGTGGGCAAGTCCACAGTCTTGTGTGCCGAGAATAGTTCTCATCTGGTCTCAGGGCATTCATGTTGCTGAGCTTCTTTCATGTGGGGCTTTTGTGGGTTTCTTGAGGTTCCCAGTCTTGAGGTCTGAAGATTGATATCCTCTGGCATAGGTAATGTTCTCTGATCTACTGCTAGTGACTCTCAACTTTGGCATCTCAGAAAAGTCAGCCTTTCTCTGCTGAGGATGCCTTGCCATTGGCAGAAAACCATCTTGTGTAGGGTCCATAAAATGCTGTTGCATCTTGTTCTGATTCTGTTTGCCATAAGGCTGAAGAGCATAAATCATTTTTGACTAAGTTTAAACATAAGATATTTTGACCCACAGCTCTTAGATCCAGGAATATAAAATTCTACCATTCTCCTGCAAAAACCTCCCTTTCTAAAGATTCTACCCCAGGTTAATAACCAAAAGTCAGGATCTAATCAAAGCCTAAACATACTACATTAACTGACACTTCCTAGTCCTTTTTTATGTATAGACTCCGTATCTTCTTTAGGGAAATACCTAAAAAAAGCTTTAGCAACTTTATTTCAAAATTGATCCTAAAATTTTATGATTGCTTTCTGATATTTTTATATCGTATCCTAAGATTACTCAGTAGTGTTTGAATTATATAATTTTAATAATTCTGTATTAGAGTTTTTCCATTTCTTATCAGAACAGGTTTTAATTATTTTCACTTATGCTCATAATGCTTTTATATATGCTTCCTTACTTTTTAATGCTATAAAAATATATTTGGTTTTAATTTTTCCAGTTCCATTGCCTTTTAAACTTAACATATGGATTTAGATATCCATGATTTGTCCATAAGTAGTGCAGAGGAAACAGAAAACAAAAAAACTCATTTAACAAATAATTATTCTCTGGCTCTTAACAACTTAAAATGGATAGACTTTTGGCTTTAACAGTCCTTCCCCCAAAGACCAAAGGAAACACTATACTAGCATCTAATAACTTTGAAAGAGGCTCTAAATCAGAGCCCATTGAATAAACCCCTAGCATATTCAACCTCTGAACACTATCAGGACAGAACTGTAAAATATCCCTTTGGTGAGAGACAATATTCACAGAGGCTATACTTACAATGAGATGAATTTGGATTTTGAAGGAAGTTTTGGCAAAATAATTTATGGCAAAATGATTTATAAACTATCCAAGCAGTTAAATAGGGTCATAAGTTTTGAGAGAGAGGATGATTTTCCTCTAACTCATAGCATTAATAAACAGGACAGGATTTGAGGAAAGATGAGTCATTTAAAAGAAGACAACAATAATATGCAGATCAGTTGAGTTATTCCTGGATACATGTGATATTTGCTTCTGCTTAGTGTGCTTCTTTGCAAATTTCTGCCTATAAGAAATTGGAGGGGAAAAATTAAAAGATGAAAGCATTATGGCATAAAAAGAGCAATAGACACAGTCAAGAAATCACTTCATCTACAACCTGGATCCTCGGTGTTTCCTACTGTGTACAGTAAATGAGTTTGACTTAAGGGTCTCTAATGTGCTGTGATATCTCTATTACCAGAGTTAAAATGGTTCTCTCTGTCTTTTCTAATAAGGCTTTTTTTATAACCTTTTCTCCAACAAATTTCTCATTTTTGAAAGAGCGTGTTGAACAATGCTTAGGTCTAATTATTCCTAATGAAAGGAAAACTTTCAATTCCTCTGACCACCTGGGATCATGATTAGAGGTTTGGAAAGCCTTTCAGGCAGAGGCTGAAGGGGCATCTATTTAGGGATATTAGTGGTCTATTATGTTGGCAATTTATTTTTTGCCAAGGTACAAACTGCACTAGATAATCTCAAAAGTCCACTCTAGCTCTCAGATTTCATCTGTCACAGAACTCATGCTAAGTTTTTATCTAAAATGCCTCACACCTTCCAGACATTGTTTGGAATTAGAAACCAGCTGCATTTGCCAGACTAGACAGACAGGCTGGAGTTTCCAATCGCAGATTAGTAGGAGGCCCAGACAATTTGCTTCTCTCTCTAAATTTCACATGAGATATATAGAGAACACATTTTTCCCCTTTTATCGTGCTCCATTCACTGTTTGTTAAGACATTCTCATTTTCCTAGGTCTGGGGGTCTTGTGACATTTTCCCAAGTTACTAAGACACAGAGCCCCAACCAACATTAGTACTGCCAAAGCTGCCTTTGCCTGCTTTGCTAAGATTCTTGGCCAAGAGAATTTCTGTGGCATCCCTTCTAAGCTGCTGAAGGCTCCCTTCTAAGACTTCAAGTTTCAGGTATACAGTACATTGGCCGGATATTTATATAGTTTATGAATTGATCCCCTTGATTACTTGATCACCCATCTGGTTCTACACATAGCCATTACAATACCATTGACTATGTTCTCTACATTGTACTCTCATTGTACTCATGACTATCTTGTAACTACTAATTTGTACTTCTTCATCCCTTTCTCTTTTTCTCACAGCTCCCCAATATTCCTCCCCTCTGGCAGTCACCAGACTGTCCTCTGTATCTGAGTCTGTTTTTGTTTAGATTGTTTCTTTTGTTCTTTAGATTTAAATATAAGTGAAATCATATGGCATTTACCTTTATCTGTCTGACATACGTCACTCAGCATAATAACTTCTAGGTCCTTCTTAGACTTCTTGATCTGCATATGAGACTTCTCAAAGCAACTGCCTGGTTAGTACCCTCTCTCTCTCTCCTGAAGAATTTAAATCTCCTCCCAAAGTGCAAATTAAGTCCTCTTCAAAAGTAGCCTAAGTATCTGGCTCTGTTAACATTACTTTTAGCAGGAAATCACAAATCTTTATTCAGCCCTACAGCTAAAATACTCCTATTTCAGGACAAGTCGCTCTTTCTCATATTCTGATCTCAGAGCGCCCCCTTGTGCACTAATAGAAAATTGACTCAAGATAGAACTAAAGGTCAGTACATTGAGGTTGTGGGGTTCAAGCAGTTCCCTAGAATAGTGGTCCTCAAACTTCAGTGTGCATCACAATTAAGTTTTATCAAAATATGGGTGAAGAAATCCACCCTGTAGACAATGAAATTTTAATTAGCTTTTCAGAAAACTAAAATGCAGAACAAAGTTTGAGAATCTGTCTCTGAAAAAAATAAGCCAAATCTCCAAAACATGGGTTAAAACCAGTGTTTCTCGAATTTTAACATGTATCAGAATTTCCTTGTGTTTTAAAAATATTTATGTGCTGAACGCTCAGAAATTAGTTTAGGAAGGTCTAGAAAATATTTTAAAAATAGGAGACCCCAAGATATTCTGCTGGTGGTGATCTTGAAAAACCCTTACAAAGACAGTTAAGTTCCCTAAGCAGAAAAAACTGCTAGTAGTCAAAGGTGACACTTAACTCTTCCTCTCCTCACAGGGAACAAATCAGTTTCTAGATGTCATCATTTAACATTGTGAGACTATTTTTTATTATTTCTTTAAAACATCAGAACCCACCTTGGGAAAATTAGAGTGATATATTTTCTAAAGGACAGACTCAGTCTTTTAGTAACATCATCTGCTTGGATCTAGAGGAGGCTTCAAAAGTCATCCAGGTAGACTCTTAGAGGCTAGACCCAGAGAGATTAGTTGTTAGGTCCAAAAAAAGACCTCGGAAGTGCTACAGTAAATAGAACAAGCATCTGAACTCAAAGCTCCATGGTGGGACATCACAGAATGATGAAAGACTGAACACACCTCATAAAGAAAGTGTGGTTTGTTGCTTTGACCTTAGCATGGATGCTGGCATAGGGATCTTCTACCACCGATGCCCCTGAGCACCAGGCTTCCCCTGTTTATTTCACTGGTGCCTATTACCTTTTATTATGTATACCTGTCATCGCATTCTTCTCTCACCTTGAAAAGGTGAAAAAGAAAATTAATGTGTATGTCTTTGAGAACCAGTGAAACACAGTTGGTAAGAGATCTGTAAATGCTAGTGTGCTTTCTGCCCAGAAATAAGCCCCGAATACTTTTGCAACTGTAATTATTTTTAAGATGCCCAAGTAATTGAAACAATGCTTAGGTCACTGATTTCCAATCCTGATGTACCATAAAGAGGATAAATTAAAATCTCTCAAGGGCTATTGTGAAACTATCAAAAATAAAATTAAGTCGATCATTTTCTTTTAAAGAATATAAACTTTTGCTAGCTTGATGTAGAAAACTCTGCAAATCAAACTATGATCCAAAGGTACCTCAACCCTAAAAGGATTAGAAATAAATAATCTAATAATAAATAAATAATCTATTGAACAATGAATAACTGTGAAAATTAAACATCAGGAGACATTTAAATGTCATTTATGTCATGAAAACAGTATTTAGTTAAGTTGACAATTTTTCTGAGTCCATGAAATTGCTTATTTTCTCCTACATAAAGTTCCCACCCAAAGTGGACTGTATTCATCAGACCTAGAATGTGGACAACTGTTACTGCAATGACAATCAATTAGGTTACTGTATTATGTATTCTATAGGTCAGATTCTACCTTGGTGATTTTGCCACCATTCATCAGAAAACTGAAGCATGGGAAATGGATCATACAAATTATCCACCCTGGCCCCATCTTCTTACACAGAAAGAGACTATGACTCAGAGGTTCTATCACTTAATTTAGATCACCCATGCAGTTGATTGTGGATGAAGAACTATAACCCAGGAAAGCTCCTAATTCAATTCTCAAGACAATTAAGGCTAAATGTTACTTAAATAATTTTTCAAGTGACTTAGACACTCAGGCAAACAGGACAAGAATATATCATTGAGGAGACTGGGGAGTACTGAGATGGGGCAGAAATCTATTCCTTTAAATAGGCCCTCTGCACATCTCTATAACAAGAACCTACAGTTTCTTCTGTCTTCTTTCTGCTTTACATCCAGGGAGGATATGATTTAAAATATTAAGAGTCTGGAGAGTTTTGCTTACTCATTATAATAAATACAAATGTGGAATAATCATTTAGAAATAAAAATACCTGGGGACTGAAATCATTCCAGCTCCTAGTTTAGTAGGATTACATCTCATTTTCACAGCAGTTGACCGGCCATTAACACAAGATGTTGTAGTTGTAGAAGACCTATAAAGCAAATGTCATTTTACAAAACAGATATGACAAAAATTAAAAAGACAAAAATATCCTGCATATAATTGCTCCTATGTTCTATAAACAAATGAAAAAGAAAAATGTATCAAAGTTCACTAATTTAGAATTTTTATACAAATTGAGCTCATTTACTTTTGCTGACTATGAAAAGTTAACTATTTTCTCAAGTAAAGTGGTAAGCTATCATTAAGGTGTCTAGTTAAAGCCTTTATCATTATAATCGAAATTATAATCAAAATTCTAAAGGGAAAAATTTCATATCTATTCAGGATGATGCTTTGATGTGTGAATTACAAATAATTACTTCCTAAATAATGAAGTAGAGTCTCTTTATGGTCTAATTTAAAAGATTATATATATGAGAGAAATTATACAAAGCTTTCAAAATATTCCATATTTCTACTTTTACTAGGTCTTTTATTTAAGAATAAATTATGGATTATCTATTAATTATAAGCTACTATGCTAGGCACCCTGAAATGACATCCATTTGATTAAAAAAACTGTCAAGAGAAACAGTATCTTCACTTACTTATAAAAGAAATGCACATCTGGAATTTGGCTTGGTGGAACAGGGAACATATCTTCTTTTATATTAATATTTTGCAATGTGGTTTCAACTGTCACTCCTAGATGACAATAGAAAAGAAACTATTAGGCAATATGGGAAATTTAAGTTTATTTAGCCTCTGTATATCTAAATAGAAAATAGTTTTACTTTGATGCTGTCATTTTACCAGAAATACTATACTAAATTAATACATTTATGATAAGAATAAGAAATTTTCCAAAGTCTCCAGCAAAAATAAATAAATAAAGATTCTACTCCCGACACCCTGCCTTCAGAGATCCAGTTCTTAAGGGGAAAGGCAACATCCATAGGTCAGGGGTGGAAGTGGGAAGGCGAGGAATTAAAGAGGGGGGAAAAAAAAGATTCTACTCCCTAGCTTTGTAATTTTGCTTAAGTCACTTTACTTCTCTGGGTCATATGTCTTGAATCTGTAAGATTCATGCAATAATTAGATGATCACTAAAGTCTTTTCCAGCTCTAACATTTCAACAATCTAGTATTATAATTCTCAGCCTCTGTAAGTTTTGTAGAATGAGCAGGGCTACTTTGCTAATACAGCTTTCATTCACATTATTATAAGCATATTTGACAAAACAAAAATTTTTGTGCCTTAGTAATTTCCAGAAAATAAGTCCAAAATTTGCTTGATCTAAAAGTAAGCATTTTTCTCCCAGGCAAAATGATGGTGGACCAAAATGCAAGCAATAACAACAGCAACCTTTGCCTCTGACACAGAGCTAAGCACAAACTTGGCAACTGACCTTAGTGCTGAAAAATAAAGCTAAATTCCTCTGGCGTCTATAGCAATGGTTCTCAAATCTGGCTGCACATTAGAATCATCTAAGAAGCTTGTTAAACTGTTAGATTGTTTATGCCTTGTTAGATTCCTAATACCCGCCCCAGAAAATTTAATGAACTTGATCCCAAAGAATTACTAATTAGGGGTCTAAATCCTTCTTAAAACATTCCTATGCTTTTGAAACCGCAGAGAGAGAAGGGCCGATGGGGAATAAAACTGAACACATTCACCTTTTCCACTTGTCACCAGTTTATTTTAAGTATGAGAAAAGACAATTAAAATGGGTGACAGATACTGAGTTAGGTTTATATTGCCTTTGTTTACTATTCCTCTTTTGTTTATAGTTTTGGTGTTTTAAATTATTTTGCTTCTTAAACTCCTAGAGAATATGATGAAAGGCACAGACTCTCAGAAACAGTATCTCACGTATGAGTTAATACATAAATAATACATAAATTCAGAAGCTTCTAACACTCTCTGAGAATGATCAGTAGACCTCACTTGTAGAGGCTTTTCAACCATGATACATAGTGATGATTTAGAATTACCTGTGGGCTTTAATCATCTATGGTAAACACCAATGCAATGACAAGTTATCAGTTTCATAATTTTAGAAAAAAAATGCATGCATGCATATATGCACCAAATGAAGCTTACCTAAAAATGTGTCTGCCAGAATGATGGATTGTGATGATAAGGCTGCTCGGAAACCCTTACTTTCAGAAGGAATAATAGTTGACTGGCATACAAATGCTCCTACTACATTTGTGTAATCATCTGACCCTGCCACCATTTCCTTTACTGTAAAGTCTGTTATATTGTTGGTACAGAGAGCCATCTTCTTCCCCTAGGAAAATAAAGTCATAAAGAGATTAAATGTTGTGCTCTAAACTGAAACTCAGCTAGCTAGTGACTCCAGTAGGACAGTGGCTGTCTCCTCACCAAAAATCTGATTTATATGATCTGGTATAGGGCCAAAGTACCAGTATTTTTTAAAAGCTCTTGAGGCAATTTCAATGTTCAACCAGAGTTGAGAGTCACTGAAGTTATAATGAATAAACTAATTCAAGGCTGCACTGCTCGTCCAACTAAAAGCATCACTTGTGCTGGATGAAAGCCATCTAACTTAAAGAAATAAAAGTCATCTATGACATCTTTAATTCATAGGATAAAAATTCATACAAAGAGACCAGAAAACTGCTCCAGAAGGTTTTAATGCCAAAGAAAAGCTTTCTTTTCCTTCTCCTTCATAGGCCTATGTAGGTATTGTGAAGGCTAAAGAAGAAAGCACAAAAGCCAAATTGTAACAAAGTCTTAGGACAACATCTAAATTCTAAATAGTTGATCACTACAAGTGTCTTTCTTCACCTACTCTTAGATTCCATGATGTATATCTGTTCAACTAAATGGTAAGTTGAAGGGAATACAGGGGTTTACTTTTTTAATCATTTGGAGGGTAGTTGGAAGGTTTTATAAAAATTGGAAGACTCTTTAAATATAGTATGTTTAAATATACTATAATCTCACTGCAAAGGACTATAGCTTCCTCTATAATTTCTATGAAGAAATGTATAAGGGAGAATACAAACATTATTTTATTGGTCTTAGATGTAGAGGGTACACAGATGAGCATAAAGAAAATAAAAAGATTTCTCTTCGTTAATGCAGCTAGCAATCCTAACCTATGGAATTTTCTCTCTCCATTAAGCCTTCTCACACAATACAGGTGTAGGATATTTTTACTAAGCTTAAATTAAATTGTTAAAGCCAAGGAGATATAATGAAAAAGAGAAGAGAAACTACTGAAGGAAGAAGAGGAAAACTACAGTAAAAGGAAAGGAAGAAGAATATAAAGGAAAGAAAGAAGAAGAAGATAGAAGAGAAAAAGAGAGAAGATGGAAGAAAAGACAGTGGTAATAACGGATAAGATTGAAAAGAAGCATAATATGTAATGGAATTAATTTTATTCATTGCTTGACACAGTATTTAACATAACAAGTATTCAACATTAATTTATTTATTTATTGAGTGAACAATCAAGTGAGTATGTTAGATCATCCCATCTAAAATCATGACAGGATAATTATCATACATGTAAATTTTATAGATCTTTTTGTTTGAAAACTCTGTGGTCATCAGATCTTTTTTATTTCCTTTGTACAAACTTTGGCACAGTATCTCAAAATGAAGATCATTTGAGATATAGGATTTAATATGGAAAGAAACATTAAGGAAAGGCCTTATTATATTTTCACCTTTGCTAATGGTGAATGCATATACATATGACCCAACCCCAACCTTATATGCCTATAAAAATATTGGATATCTAGTCCTGTCACTCTCCTAATTACCAGTATCAACTGAGGTTCTGCTTCTTCCCACAGAAAATAAAATCCCATTATTTACTAGCAGAGAGTACTCATCAACTGACACTTGCCTCCTGCTTACCTCCTTTTTATTTTTGGACAAACTTCCTCTTGGAAGTTTTTTCTTTTTAAAACACAAAATTGACAATATAAACAACAATAAAACTTCCTCAAACCATAACTGCCTGCCTCAAAAATAGGTGGGATTGACAAGCCTGACCTACTTTTACAAAACTGAAAGATGACTGGATGAGTGCTTTGGACTGAGAACCAGACAAAGTTGCCCCTGGTGGAGAAATCTGCCAACCAACGTGCCAGGAGGCAACAGAGGATTTAAACAACAAAGCTCAGTTTCTGACATTTGTTTGTTAGTTTCCATAGAGATTTTACTGAGCCATCAACTCAGAAAATACCAACTCAATCAAAGCTGAAATATAGCTTCAACTCACCTTGACAGCCAGAACTCACCTCATGCCCACATAAACTAATATTGAAGAAATGGAAGTATTTTGTTCCTTTGGAGGTAAAGCTGGGGCCATTCATTAAGGAGCCCACGCTGCTGAGGTTGCTGAAGTCATAGTGCAAACTCTGATTTTCTTTCTCATGGTAAAAAAAGCAGTCACTATAGCAAACCGAGTGGTCCTTTGATTAAAGATTAAGAAATGTAAAATAATAATGATAATATAGCAGGAAAGAAAAAGAGAGTATTAGCTGCCACATAAAATGTATTTCAAAAATGTTCTAGTTTTAAAATCTATTTCAGTAATTTTGTCTGAGTTATAATATATATTACCATACTAATACAGAGAAATTTTGAATGCTAAATAGACTGTCTTTAGCAAAGGTTAGAAGGTTCAAAATTTTTTAAAGTAAGAATAGTTATTCCAAGGTTAGTTTCTTGTAGAAAAATATTTTTAATAAATAGCTAAAAGTCCCTGTTATATCAGTTTAAATAGACAATAAAACTACTATCCTCTTCCCCCATAATGTAGCATCAACCTTTGCCGTTAAAGTGTTATAAGACATACTTGCTGCTTTCCATATACTCCTATTGCCAATCTATACAGGTTGTTTACTTGCCTTAACAGAATATACAAGAAATCGATTTTAATATTTTTGAAAGCATTTGTATTTACTTTTATTAAATAGCACTTACATGGCATATATTAAGTGCTCAATAAATTTAAAAGGAGAGAAAACAAGAAAGGGTATGAAAAGTCATTTATAAATATAACTAGCAACCTCTGTAGCTCCTAGAGAAACACTAAAGAGAACTTTTGAATTTCTCTATTAAAAATGTGCTTTCCTGGGGATAACTGAAATACAGACTCATTTACCTGAGTGCTTCTACTCCCAGGCCCACATGGAATACAAGCTTCCTTGCCATAGACCTGGTGTATGGACAAGTAGGTGTCAGGTGGACACTCCTTGCACTGGTTGGTTTCTTTCTCAATGTAGTGGCCTGGGGGGCAGGGGACACACGATGAGCCCAATTGTTCAGAACCGAGGGCACAGGCACGGCACGAGGACGCCACCCCATCAACTGCATTAGTGGCAGTGATAGAATAAATCTTCACCATGTCATTGATGAACCGTCTATTCTAAAAAGAGAGCAGAAAGTAATGACTTCTGTTTTGGGGCTTAATTGTACAACTAGATTGTTTTATGTTGATATCACCAAAACAAGCAGAGTGTTCCAGCCTTAGAATTTACAATTGCCAATGGATTAATATTATTCATTTTTGGTTCTTTTTCTTTAAAAATCTTAAATCTTAACACTAAAAGCTAATTTCCACAGTAATGGGATTCCAGGAGATTTGCCACAATCACCATGAGATATGTCATAATTGGTACAAACTCAGTCATACTGATAATCCTAATATCTGGAAGAACTGGTAGGGTTTAACAGAGAAGCAATTTTATTGTCCATCATTGTTTATTCAGATATAAGCCCAAATCTAATGCTACAGTAGTATGTTGACAGGGAGGTAAGGTGGTAAGCCTTGGACTAGCTTTGGAAGACAAAGGCTCTGGTCTTCACCCTAACACTAACTGTGTAAATCAGCATGATCGTATCGCTTCTTTGGGCCCCGTTTCCCTCTCTAGTACTTTCTCTAACCTCTAACCAGCATTCTCTGGTTTATACTGAAAAGATGTAGAATGGAGAGTAAGAACCTGGATTTTCCTACACTTTTCCTTCTTGAGACAATGGGTCAATTAAGGTCTAGTTTTCACCAAGCAAAGGGTGTCACTCTATCAGTACGGAGAAGCATTGCCCTAGGACTGCTTAATGCTCTTTGGGGCAAAGACCCTAGGACTGCTTAATGCTCTTTGGGGCAAAGACAAAAGGAAGGCAAGGAAGCATTCCATGCACGTTCGTGCCCCACATGATGGTAATCTGAACACTCGTAGATAACTGGAATCAAATAAAATCTGGGGATCGGGTCCCCCAGTGAAAGCCTAAAAAGAGAAAATGCTATGCATTTGCTACTATAGTTTTAAGGCAGCTGCTGAACAGGTGGTTTACCTTGTTCTCACTTTGGGAAGGTCACATCTATGGAGATCCACAAATAACAGTCCTGCTACTATTGAAATATACAATGGAATTTACTTAGCGGAGTATTAAGATCTATTCTAGCAGGAAAAGTAAAAGAGAGTAAATAATTTTTGTGTGTTAACCCAATTATGTCTCCATACACACTCTCCAGGCTATAAGAGGAGACATTAATTACTACAATGAAATGACAAACCAGTACCAGTTAACGCCTCCTGGACAAAATGCCAGATCACTGGATGAAGAAGAAAGTCACCAGCCTTGTCAAAGTCTCAGAAAGCTTTAAAAGTAAGTTTTTCAATAACTATAAAATTAGATTTTCTTTCTCTTAAGCTTTCAGCAACTATACTTGTTCACAGTGTAGAACAATTCAAAGATACGTTGTGTTATTCTGTTTCATATATTCTTGCTCTCAAAAAGCAAACCAAAAAATACCATTTTTATACCAATTGACTTCATAATCAAATGTTGGATTCCACATCAATAAAAAGCTGTCTTTCCTCCAGAAAATTTGAGTGATCACTTTACATGAATCTTCTCTGGGGCATCATCTTAGCGTTTAAAAAGAAGTGCTCGGAACTTACATCTTGACCCTCATTAGTTCTCTGGAATGCCCAGGTAAATGTAAATGTTGCATTCTTGAAGATGATGTGGGTGTAAGCTTGTTTTTCTTTGGTTCCACCCCATGATTCCACTACATTTGTACTTTTTCTATTAATATCCTAAAATACAGTAGGAAAAATATATACAAAAGAGCACAAACTTAGTATTAATATACATGGGTATACATTACAAATACATATTTGTATTTACTAACCCTAAAGGTTATTAGCAATGCATGTATCCTAGAACTCTCAAAACCTCCCTTCAAGTCTACAAAAGCACTCACTAGCTTAGTAATTACAATATATCAACCACATTGTTAATATAACCTGAAAGAAAGAGGTCTCAAATCAGCCTATTTAAGGGTGGGTGGGTGTGTGTGGGTGTGTGTGTGTGTGTGTGGCTTAGGAAATACACTTAGAAGAGGAAACATAATTTCTCAAACTTCTCACAGTAAACTTTTAGGATCCTCATAAAACGGAAAGGCTTTCTATTTTTATTTTTTGCCTTGAGAGATTCTGATAGGCAGCTCATGCACAATAATTCTAAATTTTCCTGATTCATACTTGCAACTTCCAGGCTTACCCAAGCGCGGATTAATCAGAATGTTATTTTATGTTCACGAACTATTCTTTTGCTTATACTTGAATTCCAAAAGGATTAATTTGTATAATATTTTATTTCTAATTTCCCTAGCTAAACTCAATATTTAGAATATCATACAAATGTGTGATGTTCCAACCAATATGCTGTCATTACATGGTTATAAAGCAAATATAATAAATCAAACAAATAATGTAATATACATCTAACTTATTTGAAATAAAAAACAAGGCTAACCCTGAATTTTCTTATTAGTCTTCCCTGGAGAAACCCTAATAAGTGACTTAGGAAGAAGCCCTTTAGATGGGCTTCTTTCAGTCATCTGGGATGTTGACAACATGGTGGCATGAGCTCGGAACATGTCTCTTTCTTTCTATGATATAAACATAGGAGTCAAATATGTTATAAAGTAATCAAATGTGTTATAAAGAGATGTGTCTTGAGTTCACCAATAGATAGGAATAACAACGCATTTGTCATATATTACGGAATTCTCCACATTGCCAAACAATCAAATCATCATACATGCCACTTCCTAAGAGGAGCTGATAATATACAGATAATGCTTTGTTAAACATCATCTTTCTAGATCTTTATTCCAATAATAAATGGAATTTATTGCATTACTGAGATAACACTACACAATTTCGAAAGCATTTCTATATACTATTTAATTGACATCTCAAAAAATCCTGTGAGAAGACCAAATCACACAAAACGGAAGATAACTAATAAATTCTGTTATGAGGTAAAAACTCTAAGATTGATTTACCAAAATAAGTAATTGTAATCCCTGCCCTCAGGAGTGCTTGGTCAAGTGAGGAGACAAAACATGAATGCATTCACATAATTAAAATAGGTTTTTCTCAAAGGGTTTTAGGAACACACTGGAGAGAGTGTTAATTTTGCTTAAAAGAATAAAAGAAAGCTTCCCAAAAGAGGTGAGGTTTGAGCTGCCCTTGAAGTATGAATGGGAGTTCACCAGACAAAAGAACAAAATGAATAGTGTCATTCTAATCTAGAGTGGCAATGCATAAGAAATAAAAAAGTACAGAGTCCTTCACTAGCAAATTCAGGGTTTTAAAGAGGAGCATGTACTAACAGTAGGTTTGGTAACAGAGGCTAGGCAAAAAGTACAAAAAGCCATATACATGCCATGCTAAGGACTTTTAAGTGTATTCATAGGCTATTGGTTCTCAAACTTTAGAGTGTATCAGAACCACTCTCAGAGCTTGCTAAAATACAGATTTCTGGGCCCAGCCACCAGAGTTTCTCATTGAGACTAGGACAGGGCTCAGAAATTTGCATTTCTAACAAGTTCCAGGTGATGCTGATCCAGGGACCAAACTTTAAGAATGACTGCCATAGGCAATAAAAAAGTCACCAGGGGTAAGGGGACAGGTTTGATGTGGATGCCTCTACTATTATTTTTATGTTTATAAAGATATTTTGACAGCAGCATAGATAAGAAAATAGAATTAAGAAGACTGGATAGGAGACTACTGTTGAGAGATAATAGGAATCTGAATTTCAGCAACGGCACTGAGTATAAAGAGGAACAAACAGACTAGAGAAAAAAGGACGCAGGGCTGGGAGCATTAAAGACTTACTGGTTATTTGTGGTATAATAGACAGATGTGTTAAAGATTATTCATGATCTTCTTTTACCATCATAAAGTAACTTTTTTCAGAACAAAATATGATTTCAGAACAAACTATGGTTCAGTAATCATGAATAAATATTTAAATCTCCATATTCCTCATTTATCATAAAGGAAATATTAATGGACTGTTAACTAGATACTAAAGGATTGTTGAGGAAATAAGCAAAAACAAATCATTTCTGTGAAGTTACTACTGAATTATAACGCTAAAATCTCAACTAACGACTTCTAATACCCACATGTGATCTTAGTCAATTCTGTGTTGCTACTTTTCTCATGCTAAGAGTTGAGATCTATGACATCTAGAAAAACATTGGCAAAATTATGATATGTACATAGGAGAGTCCTTTGTCAACACTGATTAAATATAAAAAGAAGAGCTTTTTTCTTCCAAGTGTCTACACCAACATTATTTTCTTCCCTCACTTATTAATACATGTTTTTCCTTCTTGATGGTTTGAATTACTGAATAGTTAGTAGGGAGGGATTTTCATTCTGCTGGTGGCATATTTTTATAAAAGAATTTTCTGCCAGATTAACATTCCCTGACTTCTATCAGCCTCCCAGGCCCCTTCACTCAGTCCTCCCCACAGGAACGAACGCTTTCATTTCAATTCTTAGAGACTTCTTTCAACATTTTTTAATGTTTTTGGAAAGCCCTAAGAATGGGAGGAAAAATTATATTCTTATCCCAACTTGCATAAATAAATTTACACTTGAAAGAGAATGCTAAACTTAGAAATCTGCCTTTGAAAGCCATTTTTTCCACTTACCACCATAAAGTACAGAACACAGTCGGCTGAACAGAGGGTCTCAAAAACAAATGTTATTCTTCCCAGTTCAGAACCCATGGCTCCAGTCATAGATGTTGGTGGTCTATTTGGCAGATTAAAATTATAATATTTACAAAATGTTCTAAAAACAATTTGGAACAAAATTCTCATTTTTTTCATTAATCTGAAAGCCTTGCTCATCTCTTCCTCTAATATACTTCTTTCCTCAATCCAACTCCTTCCTCACTCAACCTCTGCATGGCCACACCCTTTGTTCTAACGTGGAGTCTATACAACCACGTTAACATGCTTGAATCTCCTGGTATAACTACTACCATCTACCCTAAAGTGAGAAACATACATCTGCTGGGAAATTTCAACATGGGAATCTAAAGCAAAATGGAACTTAAAAACTGTAACACACTACTTTACAGATAGAACTGAGAAAAGAATAAATACATAAACCACAAGATACTACTGCAAATAACTTGGATTAAGACCACTTCGTTAAGCATTCAAGAATCATGATTATTGTAACATTTGGATAGAATATTGTTTAAAACATTCAGCTTTATCTAAGTAATATATCATGAATAGCTATAGTTTCTCAATCACTGATTCTACAGATATTCTTAAATATTTTACAGTATCCTACAACAGCTTGTTATTTGCTAATAAGTATATTACCTCATTACATTACTTCATCTATTTCTAAAGGGAAACAGGCATGAGAATTCTTACAGAAGGGAATCGGAATTGGTTTTTCTTACTTAAATCCTGGGATATGCAAGTTTAAGATCAGGTAATCATTATCAGAGCCTCCAGCCCCACTCTGGATATGATCTCCAGCCACTTCCCAACCTGGAAATGATCAAGGTTATCTTTATTAGTAAAAATTCTATCACTGATTTCTAACAATCTTTTAAAATAAGGTAAAAACAAAACCATTAATGTTTATGTTCAAAGTTAGAAATACTCCAAAACAATTCCCTATTTTTAAATTGCAATTGCAAATTGAACATAGAGACAGACTCCTGGATACCAATAAAGATGTTCCATATGATTCCCCAGGAAGAATCAAATAATGCATATTTTTACACAAAAGTTATTTAATGGGAAAACAAACAACAGTTTTCTCAATGAGGCATGATTATCTTTTTCCAAACTAAAGCATATGGTCTTTATACATTCTAATACAATGAGATGGAAAATGCATAATCTCCAGGTAACCAGTGGGAAATAAACTTCAAATTACTTAATGAAGAAGATTTAGGGTCTGGAGTCCTTTCTCATAGTTTGCTATATTGTTGTTCCCTACTTTAACCCCTGTTCTGCATTCATTCACTTATTCATCCCCTCAGTTGGCATTCATTGAGTGCTAAGAATCTGATATGTACTAGGGATAGAAAGACAACATTGGTCCAACCTCACTGAGGAATAAGTAGAATATGAGAGAGAGACACACACACACACACCAACAATTGTCAAAAATATAGGGTGATATGGATGAACATAGAAGGTAATGGGAGGTCCATCTTCTGCACAGAAACAGTCAACTTACCATAGGCTGAAATGGCCACAATATAACAAGGAAAGGAAAAGCATCCCCCATACACCATCAAGTAAGGTTATTATTTAAAGGCAATGACTTACCATTGACACTTCTGTCTCTAAAAGAAAATGTCAACATCTGCTACTTAAGTAAGTATGAGGGAGAAATTGAGGAATGGATTAATATCAGTGTTAGATTAATGATATGGCAATTTTTGAAATGTTATAATCAGCAGTTTATAAAAAGGTAGTATGTTGAATATACATATATCAAGCTAGACCTAAAAATATTACGCACTAATCTATTTGCTGATGAAAGAAATGCCAATTGTTCTGCTGTCTAAGGGTTCATGCAGTTAAACAGAGAGACAAGTAGGAATCCACACCTAACGTTAAGAGTTGAACAGCCATAAAACAGTCTGATCCAGTGGGATACCAGGCCCTTAACTTCAGTTTAAGTAATATGAAAGGCTGTAGAGAGGTTTAAGGAGACTGCAAACTTGTGATGGGGTTAGAGGAAGAGAGATATTCCCACATGGAGGACATCTATACCAAGAAAGGGAGGACTTCAGAATGTTTCTCTAAGATCTCTTCCTAGTGTCCAGAAATGTCATGAGAAAGGACAGAATAGCAGAGAAGGCCAAAGAAAGTAGTAAATGAGTGGTAAGGAGCTAAGTTTGGAGGGAACTAATATTCTTGCAAGAGGAAACAAACATTTCTCATGTTTTGGATATTGCCTGTTGTTAAAGGTTATATTGTGCCCATTCCACCCATCCCACAAAAAAAGATATGCTGAAGCCCTAACCCCTGGAACCTATGAACAGACTTTATTATTTGGAAATAGAGTTTTTGCAGATATAACCAAGTTAAGATGAGGTCTTTCGGGTGAGCCTTAGTCCAATATGACTAGTGTCCTTATGAGATAGAAATTTAGACATAGACACACAGGGAGAACACTTTGTAAAGACACAGAGACACATAGACACAAGGAGAAGCTGGCCACTTAAAGATGAAGGCAGAGACTGGAGTTATGCTTCCATCAGCCAGGAACACCTAGAGCTACCAGAAGCTAGAAGCAAGGAAGGCTCCTCCCCAGAGGCTTTGAAAGGATCACGGCCCTGCCAACACCTTGATTTCAAACTTTGTGTATAATTTCTTTCTCTAAATCACATCATTTCCTTGGTATAAATCCACAGAAGTAGAATTATTGGATTGGAGAATGGGAACATCCAAAATTCTTGAAATATTGCCAAACCGTTTTCCTTATGGCTGTCATTTTTAATGACCACATAACATTTCATCCAATTAGAATGGCATAACTTTTGTAAACATTTCCTATTGTTGGATATTTAGATTATTTCAATTTTGTTATTATGATAATGCTCAAGAACAGCTTCATAAATAGACTGTAACTTGTGTTCAACTTTGATTTCCTCTTAGGCAAAATTCCAGTACATGAAGATCAACTTCTACATACCTGTTCTGCAATATGCAAAACTCAGACTGAGAATACAGTATCTTAAAGTATTCCAAATCACACAGTCAAAATAGTAAAAGTACATCCACTGTAACTCCATGACTCATGACTACCTAATGAGACAGGCTCCCCTGGGCCTCTCACTTTGACCCCCATTCCTTTGAGTGCTGCTCCTCTCAAGGTTGGTTACTAAACCTCCCAGTCACAAAAATATACATCACCTTTAATTACCTTTTATCTTTGTATTTTTCACATGACTGTTTGCTATTTTAATATCACATACTAATATTACCAATATGTATACCTTTCAAATGAATAATTGAACATTTTGAAAATTAGCAAAATTTAAATTATAGCTTCTAAGTGAATGACTTAGCAAGTAAGTAAATCAAGTATTATCATGAAACTTAGACTAAAAGTAAATTCTCTAAAAGATCCAACGAGAGTTTCAGGTGATCTTTAGTAGTAAATGAATACACACACACACAGTATTGATGCTTTCACAGTCATTCAATACTCTGGCCTTCCAGAGTATCTTATTTTTCCAATGCCTTAACTTCCTCAGTCATGGAATCTTTTTAGAACCTAAACCTTCATGGTCAAATAATAACTATTACCTTTTTTTTTTATCTTTTCTCTTAGGATAAATTCCTCCAGGTGGGATTATTGGTCAATAAAGAAGGATATTTCATAATGTTCAATATATATTAAGGCTTTTTTTCATGCATCTGTTTAACTAACATTATTCAAGAACCAATTATTTGTCAATTCCTGCACTCATGTATAAACTCACTACATCCTAAGCCTGTTTACTTTGGATAGGTACTGATTTAAAAACAGATACAACTTAAAAGCATTTTTTACAGTAATACTGAAAAAACTGAGTTGATAAAAAATGCTAATGAGTTTATAGAAGTAAAGGACGCACTTTGGTGTAAAACTCTAGTATTTATAACAGCTACTCCTAGTATCAAGTTAAAAAATACATACATAAATACTGTCATTCAATCAACCAACAAATATTGCAGAATAACTAAGAGCTAGGTTCTCGAAGACCTTAAAACATAAGAACAAATAAAATTCTGAAAATATCCTATAGAACTCTGCCACATTTTCAAGTTTTCAGTAAGTGGAGTTCATTGACATTTTGTAATCATAGGGTCATAGACTTCAGAGGTAAAGAACGTCAGATATGATTTAACCCATCACCAAGACTCAGTGCTGAGCCAGACTAAAAACCAATCCAGACAGAAATGCTGTCATACTTCTCTTCAAAATGGAAAACGACAAGGATTTCATTATCTCTGTTGGTACTTTATTCTGGTATTTATAATCATATGTGATGACTTTCACTATCTACTTAAAAACTAACTCCAAAAAATGCAAAATAGTTTATGTTCTTATGGGAAAGTCATCTGGCAGTGACACTACATTTACTATTTTTATGTCAGGGCTTGACAACAGGAACTAGCCAAATAAGATTGAGGTTACTAGTACCCACTTTTAGTGTCTTTTTAGAAAGCTGAGTTGGAGAGTCACTGCTGCCAAAATACATCAAGTAGGCCAATTCTGAACTCACCATTCATTCCATCACACTTTGAATTCCCGACATTGAAGCAGGAAGTTTTCATGTTGCCAGGAAGGACATTCCACCATTTATATTCAAACCCAAGTGCAGGCTCTGTTCCTGCTGGGCACGGCCTACATTCTACAGGAGGCAAGTGGGGCAAACAATTATAATTAAACTGCATCTGGACAACTTCTTCTTACTCTGTTCCAAGCACTATAAAACTATAATTAGCAGAGAGGGAAGTGGGAAGGAGAGATATTGAGACACCAATTCCCTTAAGAATTAATAACTTTTTCAAAAGCAATCTGGAAAGAAAAATAATTCTGGATATATTATACACATATATACTTTTTTTTTCAATTTTTGTAAGAGTTTATTTAACCCAAACTGACGACATGCCAGGGAGCAAGATCTCAGAGAGATCTCCAGAGAATAACAGTTCTGCAGTTTCTTTCATGCATTTGAAATTAAGGTGGGAACGTAAGGAAGATTACGTGAAGATGGGAAGGAACAACAGAAGCATTACATTACAGGAGAGTTAACAAGATTGTGTGCTCTCTTCAGGGTTAATACCCTCTTCAAGAGGGATTACTTCTGATGTTTCAAAGGTGTGTTAACCTAAACGCACAAGAACAAGGTTGGCTTAAACCTTTCACTGAAAAAGTTATAGGCCTGGGGTCTATGACTACTCACTATAACCTGCCCAGGTAGGAATTTATGACCAGATCACTCTGTAAAGAACCTCCTTTTTTTTTCAGCCATAGTTCTCCCTTTTGGTCATATACTTATATATGCTTGACTAACATGAACAAGGAAACAAATAAATACAAAATCTTTTAAAATAATTTTTCCCTTCATTTCTGGGAGTTACTGCTAATACTGAATTATCCTCCACAAGAAGAGTAATTCTGAAACTAGTTCTCTTAACATGTAATCTTAGAATCAGTTCCCTCTACCTCATGAATAAGGAAAGATTCCACTCTTCTTATTGGTTATTAAACTGAACAGAATATTGTACCATTTAATTATAAACTGATTATTTGAAATTCAAAATATTAGCTATGTTGAAAAATGATACTGGGAGTTGAAGGATTTGGGAAAAGTTAGGTTTATAAATAAACTTGATTTAAATTAGCATCTGCTATACTGAAATGGAAGGGCCTTTTATAACCATTTTTTAATTTACCCAAGATACTTTGCGTTATCACTCAGTAAGAGCAGGGGTAGGGAGAGAAAATGTTCATGGAGCAAACATTTCCTGGTATAAAGTATTACAGGAGACATTTTTATATAACCTACTCAGTGATGATGAGCTAGCTATTATTACCCACAATTTTACAGATGAGAAAATTGAAGTTTGAAAGGTTTGGGTAACTTAGATAAACCGCACTATTGGTAACCTGCCATTTGGCTCTTGAATCATTTTTATGTTATCTCTCAAAGGCTCTGGATATTAAGTATATGGCATGGCTATATTTAAGTGAAATACCTTCAACTAAAATGCATGTAATCTTTGTCTACCTAAATTAAAACAAATTCTGTAATCACTTTCTACAATATTTGGTAAGTAGTAAAATTTTCCCAACTGTACATTTTGAAGCAACTTACTTAGGGACTATTTTAATTGCCATATGATCAAAATGAGCAATTTTTACTATTATTGTAGCACAAAAAGGTGATTTATTATTCTAAAGCGGAATTAGAAGATGCTATGTTTTATGCTTGCATCAATATATGTGCACATATGCACTGGAAAAGGAGTATGTACCCTTAATTTCTTAATATGGTGGAATTTTCTTATCATTTTCCAAAGGCAGAGGTATCACATTAAGAGTATGTTACACAAAATGCCATTAAAAAGTTATCTTTATGATGTCATATAAGCTACTGCAGTCTCATAATTCCATTATCATATCTCTCAACTCTTTCAGCCTCTATGAAATAAGTATGCATTTTAAAGAATTATTTCATAAAAAACAATTTAGAACAAGGCCACAGTAGTCCAACAAGATTTTTATTCTAAAGGTTCAATTACTGGACCAACTGACATCCTACCCTTTGTTCCATCTGAAAACGTTCCAGGAGGACAGGGATGGCAAGAAGATGATCCATTGTTATAAAATCCAGGATTGCAAGGTGGACAATCCTTCTTCTCTCCAGAAGAGGGCAACCTAATAGCATCTGTGAGATCCTCCCAGCAAATTTTTGGCTCTATCCATTTGTACATTATCTGTGTCTGAAAAAAAAAAAAAGCTTGCCAGTCATATAAGATCCTTTATTTGCTTTCAACTTACAATAACAAAAATGTTAAACTGACAGCTTAGGAGAAGTCCAAATAGTGACAGAATAGAAGAGCAAACTGAAGAGAATCTAAAACATTAGTAACAAAATGAAATAAAAAGGAAGAAACTTTGGTGTGAAAATGACCATTACTTCCAAATATTTTTACCCTAAACTACAAGTGGCCTTACCACATACATATACATAGCATGTTCCTTGTCATGAAATTCCTCTTTAAAATATGAATAACATGATTACAGCCCTTAGTCTTTGATCCACTCATTCTTCCATAAAAAAAAAAAAGTTTCTATGCAGAGAGTATCTTTTTCATTTTGAGACCTCCCCTACTCTCTTCCTTTCACTCAGCCACAGTACATATCACTAGGCTTTTCACATGGTGATCACAAAAGAAAACAATTATTTTTAAAGAAGAATATATCTAGCTTCACATTTTAGTCTTGTTATTTCATAAATATTGGTAGTTGCTCTCTGAGACTTTTCCAACAACTTGATATTAGACTATAAGAGCTGTAGCTAAAATATTTTCTCCTGAAGCTTTTAGGCCTTGTTGTATGTTCTCTAAAAATCAGGATTAAGATAGCCTCTGCCTTCAAGGAGGAAAGTTTTTTAAACCTTACCCTTTCATTCTCTCTCACACATGCATACACTCCCACACAAAACAAAATATAACAAAATAGCTGTAACTCGGCCAAACCCAGAAAGCTGTGATTATAAAATTATTCTCTTTTGAAGCCAAAACATTAAGTGAGTTAGCCATTTAAAAAACAAAATTAATATGCTCAATGGAGAGGGAAGGTATTCTAAACATGTAGAGAAAAATAAATTCTTTCATAACGAAATACAGCTTTTAAAAAGAAATTAAAATCTTCCTTCATTAGACATACAATTTACTGAAAGTAATCATTCACCTTTAAAACAACTTCAGCAATAATAAGTCTAATACTCAAGCTAGAGAACCAGAATTTAAAGAAATTTTCTATTGCTATTTCCAGTTAATAGAAAGTCATATACAGTAAGTTCTTTAAGCCATTCAATTTTATTCTCAAGTATTCTCTTATGGAAGAGTAAACTGCCTTATGTGAAGAAAGATGCTTAAGAAAATGGTTTAAAAGTTAGATAGCTCAATAGAATTACAAATAACATTTTTTCCTTTTTACAACTCCATATTCATTTTATAGCCTATGTCATGAAACAGTTTAATCAACCACTTCATCCATCTGCCTCTCTCTTACCATCTATAAAATGATGTCCATTCTTGCTGGAGTTTCCTAAATGAAAAAGTAAATTAAATCCTAAATCCTTTAAGGGTTCTCAACTACCCTGAGAAAGGCAATATAAAATTGAGAGAATCTAAGCAATAAAACATCATTATATGTTAGGGGATCGTCTTTTTTAAATTATGGCTTAACAAGTATAAAAAATAAGTTTCCAAAACTCATTAGTTCACAAATTTGCTGATTTATTTTGACATCAATTAAAAAGTATTGAGTTATGTGTGAGTTACTCCAGTGTTGAGAATAGTTGGTTCCCACATAGAAATGGGTGTAGTTCTGAGGCTGTGCACTGAGGACTAATCCTGGGAGCACACTATGTCATCTTCCCTGACACTTTGCGAGCTCGATAATATTATCCTCAATTTTATAAATGAGGAAGCTCCAGCTAAGAGTTATTAATAACTTACCCAAAAGTCATATACAGCTAGTAAATGGTAAACTAACATGAGTCAAGAAAAATCAGTTTTGGTAAGGGTAAAAACAATATGCAAAGATATTCTGACAGGTAAGCTAACCACCTGATTTTCAATCCAAGCACAGTAAATATTTAAAAATTAGAGACAGACTTTCAGTCAAGATGGTGAAGTAGATAAATGCTCTGCTTGCCTCCTCTCACAACCACATTAAAATTACAACTAAACTACAGAATAGCCATCATTGGGAGTCACTTGAAGTCTAGCTGAACAGAAGTCTTACAACTGGGGTCACACAGAAGAGGCCAAATTGAGAATGGTAGGAGGGGCAGAGACATAAAACGGGCTGGTCCCACACTCACATGTGTTGGTTGAGAATTGGGAGAAATATCTCAGCCAAAGAGGTACCCCCAGAAGAGTAAGAGGTCCCAGCTGAAACCAGGCTTCCCAGCCCAGGTTTCCTGTGCCAGGAAGAGTAGTCCCCACAAGTTTTGGCTGTAAAAACCAGTGGAGATTGTGGCTGAGTGAGATGGAGGGCCAAGGGAGTCACAGACTTTCCTCTTAAGGGGTCCATGCATTGAGTTACTTGGTGGTGGACTCACTTGCTCTCAGCTCCAGCGCTGGGGCAGCAGTTTGAAAGGTGTTAAGGACATACGGGGAGGAGCTGAGTTGTCTGGCTTCAAGGCAAGAGCTGGTAGGACAGCTTTCTCCTAGACAGAAGCACTGACAGAGGGCATTGTTCCTTTGTTAAGCGCTTTGCCACCCAGCTTGTAGACCCAGGTGGGCACCATATCTGAATCTCCATCAACTTGGCTAACACAGGTTGCCCCACCCAGATAATCCCCTAAGACTCTGTACCTCCCTACTTGCAGGCTCACCCAAGCCCATTCCAGTGGCTTTTCCATACAAATGGCCTGTCTTGGTTCATATTGTGGACTTTCCTAAAATCTCCCAAAGGTTCACAAAACTCAAACAAGCAGGACTTGTCCTTGGCATGTCCCATATCTCTTGCTAAGCAGCCCCAAAGTCTGGCACTAGTGGCTGCGGGCCTCGGTTTGCAGCTTGGTCTCTCAAAGCATTTCCAAGTCCAGCATGGGTGGCAGCCATCTGTTGATCACTTGGTGGCTCATGCCAGGTGGCCTTGGGCAGGGCACAGGCTGCAGCTGAAAAAGGACTGGAGCAGGGGCCCTCCCAGGAGGCCCCAGTCTGCATGCCCAGTGGCCAGCTTCGGTCTGAGCCACAG